GATAAGACCATGAGCTTTGGTGTCGGGGAGACCTAGATCTGCACACCATCTCTTCCACTTCTAGCTGTATAACTTCAGACAAATTACTTAAATCTCCCCTAGCTCAGTTTCTTCATCTTTAGATGAGGATAATATCTTCAACCTCAGAATAAGATTAAATATCAATCCATATAAGTTTTTAATATTTGGTAGTTACTGTTAATACCACTATATCCAACCAACTGCCTCTAAACCTTTGCATGACTTGACATTAGAAGTATCTCCTCAAGGTTTTCGACTCTAAAATCAAGAGAATGGTTAAATGAAATTGCAGTTCTGAAGCTTCTACTTCCACCTGCATTTTTTTTCTCCTTTTCTCCACCTTTCTTGGTTCAGTAGATTCACCATTCAGGTGAATTGATAAGCAGCTGAACTCTTTGGCCCGGTTTTTATCCATGACCTTCAGCCAACATTTTACTCTAGGGCAGACCTCAGCAAATATAGTGGTTTGTTTTTTTGTTTAAATATATTTTTACTGATTTCAGAGAGGAAGGGAGAGTTAGAGAGAGATAGAAACATCAATGAGAGAGAATCATTGTTCAGCTGCCTCCTGCACACCCCCTACTGGGGATCGAGCCCACAACCCAGGCATTTGCCCTTGACTGGAATCGGACCCGGGACCTTTTAGTCTGCAGGCCGAAGCTCTATCCACTGAGCCAAACCATCTTGGGCTGTGGTTTTTTGTTTTTTTTTGAAACACAACTGACCCCTCGTTTACATACAAGGTGAGCAAAAGTGGGTTTATAGTCATGAATATGTGAAACAGTTTATTGTATTTTCAAACAACTGTAAAACTACCTCTGCCCATCCCTGTATTGTCTTTGGTAGCTTTCTGACTACAACAGCAAAGTTGAGTAGTTGTGACTTATAGAATGACCTATAAGCCTAAAATATTTACCATCTAGCTCTTTTATCCTTTAATCGTTACCCGAGGAATACTCTTTATTGATTTTAGAGAGAGGAAGGCAGAGAGGAGTGAGAGAGAGAGAGAAACATCAATGTCAGAGAGAAACATCTATTGTGTCCAAACTGGGGTTGAACCTGCAACCTATGTATGTGCTGCCCTGACCGGAATTGAGCCCGCAACCTTTTGGTGTACAGGACGGTGCTCTAGAGAGTGTGTGCTGAGCCCTGATTTAAGAAAAAGGTGCCTGTTGATTTGAGGGTGTCAAAATCAGAACAAAGAAAGGAAGTAGAATGGCAAAGAAATTTATTTACATTGTCTTTGCATATACCTGGCTTACTGTTTAATACCTAGTTGAATATGGGTCAGGAATACTTTGGTTGGCTCATAGGTGACCTTGAGAAGAAGATAATCCAGGGGATCATATTAGCAACCCTTAGTGCTTAAAAAGCTCAAATATTTAGGTGATGAGATTGTAAGTGATAGTATTATTTTTAATTTCATAAATGTCATTTAAAACTGTTCACTAGCAAGGTAATGAGCTACAGGTTCTTGTTTGCTTTCATTGTAGTATTTAAGATTTCATTGAAGCTTTTAAAGTAGAATATCTCAGGGGCAAAAAAAAAATACTTTTTGGAACCTTTTATAAATTTATTAGGATCATCAGCAGAGGGCTGTTGTGAAATATTACCTTTAGTCTTTGTACCTTTTTCTCCCTACAGGGGATATGAAAGGTGAGGTCTATCCATTTGGCATAGTTGGAATGGCCAACAAAGGGGATTGCCTGCAGAAAGGGGAGAGTGTCAAATTCCAATTGTGTGTCCTGGGCCAAAATGCACAGACTATGGCTTACAACATCACACCTCTGCGTAGGGCCACTGTGGAATGTGTGAAAGATCAGGTAAGTGGCAGTATTTCTGGATCTGAAATTGATCCTTTTATGAATTGGTAACCAAATAGTAACCAAACCTTGAAATTTTTTCAGCCAAGGGAGATTCATCAACATTCATCTGGTTTTTAATTCTACTGTACCCTTTTTTTAATAATTTGAGCTAGCTTATATAAACATGAAGAAAACTACATTAAGGGGCAGGGGGATGGTGATATTAGAAAAAAAAGTATTGATAACTAACATTACATGATGGGGAAAATAAACTTAGAGTGAGATTTTCAGAATAGAAAGATTTAAAGATCAGAGATTCTTTTGTAAGCCACACAAGGAAAGAAACCATGTGTAGAAGTGTTCATAAAATAAGCTTTAGGGCAAACAAATCTATTCCTGGTACTGAGATCTCAAGAAAATCCCTCTGAGTCCAGGACATTTTTAAATATCAGTATTGTAAATAAAATATTTTGTATGGCTGTTTTTTATAATACCATAACCTAGCTTAATAATTCTGGAATAGATGAAAACAATGCATATGTTTATGTAACAGCTCACTAAAGATTTTACATTTTTCAGAAATTTAGCTCATATAATATATGAGGCACAGGGCAGCCTTTCTACTTGTTTCAGCCAGGCTATAATAGTCAAGGCAGTGATTTCAAATTTATATTTCTGCCCTGGCAAGTTATGCTGACTTACAATGCTGTTACGTTCTAGCACAGGCAGCTGAACTGGAGCATCAGTATTAATACCATGTTTTGTAAACCCCTTCTTGTTAGGGTCACACATTGTGCTTCATTCAAAGTGAGGCGCTCTACCACTGTGATACGTATTTTTGTTTTTAAATTTCAGTTTGGCTTCATTAACTATGAAGTAGGAGATAGCAAGAAGCTCTTTTTCCATGTGAAAGAAGTTCAGGATGGCATTGAGCTACAGGCTGGAGATGAGGTGGAATTCTCAGTGATTCTTAATCAGCGCACTGGCAAGTGCAGCGCTTGTAATGTTTGGCGAGTCTGGTGAGTTTTTGTTGTTGGATTAAAACAATCTCCCTGGACAACTTGCAATCTCTTCATTATCACATTTCTTCACTTTTCCATCTCTGCTTTTCTTAATTTTCTACTGCCACTTGGTTATTTCTTGGTACTTCGTATCTTTTACCTCTATTCTTCATTGTGTAAACTTTTAGTTTCATAAATCTGACCCAGTGGAATATTAATTAGGCACTTGCTATATAATAGATCTTAAATATAAAATGATGATGTAGTCCTTGTTCTTAAAGGATTCTGCTTAGCTTTTTTTTGTGTGGGTTTTTTTGTTTGTTTGTTTTTCCATTAAGCCATTTCTGAGTTATATGGTGCTTAAAAGTCTAATTTTATAGATTAGCAGTTCTGACTCTGTGTTTTTTTGTTTTTGTGTATGAGTTTTTTTTAATAACATTGTTACCATGCTAGAAGCTGGGAGTCTCTGGAAATATTTCTTTATTTATAACTCTTCTAAGGTTTTTCACATCCACTACCTTGTTTTATGTGTCTGTGAAACTGGTCTTTCTGGATGCAGACCAGTCTGGGGATGACGGTCACCCAAATGATTCTTCCAGCTCCTATGCAGGAATAAACCTTGAGTTGGGAATAAAAACATAAACAAACTTGTCTGTCCTGTCCTGCTAGCTAGCTAGCTAAATGAGGCAAGAGTCCCCCTCATTAAAACTGAGTCACTTGGGTAGTTAGGTGGAAAATACACTCCTCTGTAAGTACTTGCTTCTTCCCACCACGTGTTGCTGCTTCTCACTTCTTGACTTGGTTACAGCGAGGGCCCCAAGGCTGTTGCAGCTCCACGACCTGATAGGTTGGTCAATCGCTTGAAGAACATCACTCTGGATGATGCCAGTGCTCCTCGCCTAATGGTTCTTCGTCAGCCAAGGGGACCAGATAACTCAATGGTATGAGGGTATACAAGGTTTTGGGGGAGGGAAGGTTGTGATGTGACAGACCAGCATGATACTTGAGGTCCTATTTTAGCATATCTCAGAGCACTTACGGAGCATTAGTATTGCTTATAACTAGTTAGGACTCCTTCCCTACATATTGGTTCAGTCCCCAACATAATGGTTGCTTACCAGTAAGAAGCACATTTCTTTGTTTTCCTGATAATTTGAACTTAGTTGTAGGTAATAGATCAGGAGGGCTTACTATGTAAGATTTCCTCTGAGAAAAACTGGTAGTGGTTAAGATGATTAAAAGTAATGCTTTTGAAGTTCACTTTGGAATTGTGAATGTGCTGTGATTGTCATACCCTGAGGTCATTAACTGCACTTTTATTTTTTCACAGGGATTTGGTGTAGAAAGAAAGATCCGTCAGGCTGGTGTCATTGACTAACCACATCCACAAAGCACATCATTAATCCACGATGATCAAGTTGGGGGGATTCTGGTGAAGGGTTCTGAATATCTCCCTCTTCATCCCTCCCCAAAATCTGGAATACTTATTCTATTGAGCTATTACACCAGTTTTAACACCTTCCTCATGTTATGTTTAAAAAAATAAATAAATTTAAGAAAACCATTTTAAAATTATGCACAGTTGCAGCCTGGAAAACTTAAGGTGGCGCCTTGTAGTATCAATTTTAGGAGCTTTATTTGGTGCATTTAACGCAACTGGTAATTGCAAAATCCACTTCGCCCGTGTAAGTGAAAAATATAGACTGTTACCTTGTTGGCTGTATGAAATTCTGCACTTGATATTTAGCATATATTCTACCTTCATTACTTCTGGCAAGATGTCCTGCCTTAGCACTCAGTTGCATTCTTTTCCTTTTCTTTCCTGTTCATTATGCTTTAATTCTGAGGACCATATGAGGGTAGACTATATTAAAAAATTTAAAAATTTGTATAGGCAAACCATTTTCTTAAGTTGATGGCCAAATGTTAAAATGTTATTTTTCATATCATTTATAATCTTGTCACAGTCCACTTAAACGAATTTTGGGTAGATTTCAATGAGAATTATCTTCCAAAGTAGTTTTTTTTTTTTTTCCCTGGGATGGGGTGGGGGGTAAATTTTCCACAATTAGTATGTGTGGTGCAGAATTTCATGCAAATGAGGTGTGCCAGCAGTGTGATAATTTAAACGTATTTAAACGACGAATGCACAAACTTGCTGCTGCTTAGATCACTGCAGCTTCTAGGACCCAGTTTCTTTTAATGATTTAAAACAAAACAAACAAAAAAATAAAAAAATTGTGCCTGAAATGAATCTTGTTTTTTTTATAAGTAGCCGCCTGGTTCCTGTGTCCTGTAACATGCAGGCACTTGACCCTTGGTGTAGCTTCTGTTCAACTTTATATCACGGGAACGGATTGGTCTGATTTCTTGGCCCTCATCTTGAATTGGCCATACGCAGGATCCCTGGCCAGTGGACTGGAAGCTTTGTCTAAGATGACAAGGGTCAGCTCAGGGGATGTGGGGGAGGGCGCTTTTATCTTCCCCGTTGTCATTTGAGGTTTTGATCTTCTCTGGGTAAAGAGGCCATTTATCTTTGTAAACACAAAACATTTTTGCTTTCTCCAGTTTTCTGTTAATGGCGAAAGAATGGAAGCGAATAAAGTTTTACTGATTTTTGAGACACCAGCACCTAGCGCTTTCATTATTGAAATGTCCTGAGTGGGAGGGGCGGGTTTGGGTGCGGCCAGCAGCTTGACTCTCGGGTCGGAGGCCCACGTGGCCGGGGCGGGGACTCGGGCGCCCGGGGCGCCGACTGATTACGTAGCGGGCGGGGCCGGAAGTGCCGCTCCCTGGTGGGGGCTGTTCATGGCGGTTCCGGGGTCTCCAACATTTTTCCTGGTGGTGGTTCTAAACCCGTCCGCAGCGGAGGCACCGGAGCTTGAGGTGAGGCTCCGGCGTGTGTAGCGTTGGGCTTGGAGCTTGCAGGCGTCTGGTTAGTGGCGGAATCCGCGAGCAGAGACAAAGGCCTGGGGCGGGGGTCCTTGGTTTTGAGCCCCACGGGGAGATCCTGGGAGACAGGTGGGGGACTGGAAGGGCAGGGCGGCCTGACGGCAGCCTGCCGCCGCCGAGAAACCCTGCGGGAGGAGCAGGAAGGGGGTTCCTGTACCTTCGGCGGAGGGCGGGGCCCACGGGCTGTTGAAAAATAGATGAGGTGGGGGTAGCTCGAAGAAGAATTCAGCATCCCGAGCCCCACGGTCACTCGTGGTTTTGCATTCCTGAATCGCTGGGAACCGAGTGGAGGGTCACGTGCATGGGACCGATACATTCCAAACGCCGGTTTAGCCACTATCGATTATAGAAAGCTCTGAAGTGCTGTAGAGGCGGCTCTCCGGTTAACCCTCATTGCTGCTTTCCCGCAGGTTCTTGCTGGTGTGAAATGACTGAGTACAAACTGGTGGTGGTTGGAGCAGGTGGTGTTGGGAAAAGCGCGCTGACAATCCAGCTAATCCAGAACCACTTTGTAGATGAATATGATCCCACCATAGAGGTGAGGCCCAGCGGCAGTCCGCCGCCCCTGCCTCTTTTCCTTCCGTTTACCCTCGCCCTTACCCTTTAGCTAAGGGAATCGTCAGGAAAGAAAGTGGAAAGTTATTTTGGGGACTGCGTTCGGTAATACAATAAGCAAAGCTTTCCATGTGTGTGGACAAGAGTGCCTTTTTATGAGCTGCTGAAGATTTTCTAAAGAGTTGCAGTGTTAACAGTTCTGTAAACTTGCAAACTCAGTGTTGGACTCAATTAGTTTCTTCGTATATGACAACTCTATTTTAAAAGAAGCACAGGCGATAGGTAGAGCGATTGTCTGAATAATATAGCAGGATGGAGATAAAGGATTCAGAGATCTGGTTGTCCTGCAATTGTAATTTCTTAGCTCGTTGAAGCAGCCAACACCGTGGTTGGAGTAGAAAGAACATTTTGAGTCACTGTGCTTAAGATTTCAGTCCCTGTGTGCATTTTGTTTAGTTATGTGATATTGAGCAATCACTTTCTCTCTCTCAGCCTTATTTCCTTCATCTATTAAATTACTATAAGCTTGTCCTGCCTACCACACAGGGATGAAGTGGAAAGTCAAATGTGTTTAAATTTTTGTGTGAATGGTAAAGCACTGGATAAATAGTACTTATTTAAAGATCCTATTGTTTTTGTGGGACTTCATGTTACAGATTGGCTTCAATGAGTGGCAAAATACACCCTTTCAGTAAAGGGCCTTGTAATGTTATTCAATTTAGAAATGTGTAACTCTAGAGATTATTGTGTTTTAATCCACACCCTGGTCTTCCTACCACTCAGCCACTGGGCGTTTAATGCACTCTAACATATCCTTATTAAAAATTATTCATTAGTTCTTTGCAAAACTTTATTTTAGGCTTAACAGCTTCAGTGATGACAGAACCTTTTAATATTTTTCAGAGTTTTAGTTATTGCTGGGTAATTTACATACAGTAAAATACGTAAATGTTATATCTACAGCTCAGTGACTTTTTAATCATATATATACTTACATAATAACCACCACTCAGATTAAAAAATATACTATTTCCTATCCCCCAGAGAGTTCTCAAATGCCCTTTTCAGTCAGTAAACTCTCTTACCCTGCCAGGAGATAACCACTTCTCCGACTTCTATTATCATAAAATGGTTTGACTAAAACCTATCTTCATAATTTTTATTTTGCTCATCTTAGAACAGACATTTAACTATGTTTCATGCTCTAAGAAGTTTTGGTGATGTAAATTCTATTTAATTTGAAAGTACAGTCCTGCAATTAAGTGAGCTACAAAGGAACTAACTGATTAATGGGCTGGGAAATTAGGTTGAATTCTGTTTTTGGAGCCAGATCTTTTAGGAAGAATGGTGAGGTTATTTTATTTGACTTGAATTCCCAGGATTTAAGTATTAAAATACAAGTAAAAATGTCTGCCTTCGAGCCCAATTGAAAGTATGTTTTTATATGATCTACTTAAGAAATGAATTATATCTTGTTTGTAACCTTTAGGAAATTGATTGAGGATTATTTCCCAAAGGTACAATCTGCCATGATGAGAAAAAATAATTTGGTATTATGACCTTGTTTGAAATAAAAAGTATTTGTGTTTAGTCATAAGCACAAGTGGCACTGTAACCAGGGCCAAGTTCTAAATTGGTGGAGGTCTGTTTAAAATTGTAAATGTACAATAAACAACTCAGATACGAAACGTTCAGTGCACACCTTAGTGACATGCAGTGATTAACCCCAGTCCAGCTGCAGTAGAGCTGCCTTTTCAATGACCACATTTGTTCACCTTTTCCGGGAACTGAGTGTTCACATTTTCCTTTCTGCCGGCATATAGGATTTGGGATTTTTTCCTGGGAAGACATTAAGTATTTTGTTTGTAATTGTATATTAGCAGTTTGAGGGACAAACCAGAGAGAGAGAAATGGACTTGGGTAGTAGTTTGCTTAACCTTGGTAGTAGCATTGCATTTCCTGTGATTTTTAGTAAAAGTGGAATCTCCCTTTCCCCCAGGATTCTTACCGAAAACAGGTGGTTATAGATGGTGAAACCTGTCTATTGGATATACTGGATACAGCTGGACAAGAGGAGTACAGTGCTATGAGGGACCAATACATGAGGACAGGGGAAGGCTTCCTCTGTGTATTCGCCATCAATAATAGCAAGTCATTTGCAGATATTAACCTCTACAGGTACAAGGAGCGTTATTGTTTTCTGAAAGGATGATCTTTAAGTTCTGAAGCTTTGTTGCGGGGGGAGGGGGGGGGCACACGCCACACTAGGAATGATACAGCTTTTTTCATTACAGGAAGAGTTGGTTTTCATTTGTTTGACATTGAGAATCTGAAAGTTAATGCTGGAATTTATTTTATGTAATATACCATGGCTAGAATGCGTGATAGTGTATCAAGGAAGCTTGCTAGTGGGAGTGATTGCGAACTAGAGGTGTTATTAGATCACAAAGGAATTTCAGAGAGGAAAACGCCTGAGAAACATTGTTCAGTAAGTCATAGAGATCATGATAGGAAGAAACAGCTGGGGAGTAGCTAAAGATGAAAGCTGGGCAAAGGAATGTAAAGATTGTCTTTCTCTGTAAAACCATAAAGTTTCAAAGCTCAATTGGACCATAAAAAAAGAAAACAACATTCTGATTTTACAGAATCAGAAATAGGTAGTTTATTAGGTTTTTGGAGTCTTAACTGTTATTAGTAGCAGAGCCAGGAACAAAACTCCAAGACTCCTTTTCTTAGCTCCATATTATTATTATTATTATTATTATTATTTTAAAATATATTTTATTGATTTTTTTACAGAGAGGAAGGGAGAGGGATAGAGAGTTAGAAACATCAGTGAGAGAGAAACATCCATCAGCTGCCTCCTGCACACCCCCTACTGGGGATGTGCCCACAACTAAGGTACATGCCCTTGACTGGAATCGATCCCGGGACCCTTCAGTCCGCAGGCCGACACTCTATCCACTGAGCCAAACCAGTTAGGGCTATTATTATTTTTTTAATATGTTTTTATATTTTGTTCTTTATTGTTTCAGAGACAGGGAGAGTGAGAGAGAGAGAGAAACATCGATGAGAGAGAGACACATTGATTGGCTACCTCCTACACACCCCCCACTGGGGATCGAGCCTGCAACCCAGGGATGTGCCCTAACCTGGAATCAAACCAGGACCTCTTGGTTCATGGGTAGACGCTCAACCACTTAGCCACACCAGCTGGGCACTCCATATTCTTTAAGCAGAATAATGTAATGGTTAAGAATATAGATGCCTGGGTTGAAACTTGGCTCCATCATCTATTAGCCATGGGACTTTGGGGCAAACTACTGAAACTCTGTGCCTCAGTTTCCTTATCTATAACATGGAGGATATAATTTCTACCAAGAGTTGTGAAAATTAAATGAATCGATAAACATGAAATCGTTCAGAACGGTGTCGTGCACATAGTAAAAGCCTGTGCAAGTGTTGTGCCTACAACCTTGAGTCCTGGCTTCTGCCCTGTCCGTATGAAGAAGTCTGCTCACAGAAGCAAACTAGTCCCAAACTGAATTCAGTGGGGGTTTTTTTTCTCCTAAACCTGCTCTACCGTCTTCCACTTCCTCTCTGGAAATAATAGCGGTACTTAATAAAATGCGCAGCACTTAGCAAGCATCTAATACTTGCTGAATTTCTAGAAGTTATTTTTCTTTTTAGGCTGTCTTATCCCTTAGCATAGGCTCCTGCCATTACCCCCACTGTCAGGCATTTCAGGTGCACGGCTGTGTACGTAATCCAAGCGTAGAGTCTAAAGCAGTGCTGTTCAGTGTGTGGTTATTTCAGTTAACTGAATTAAATTAATAAAATTAAATAAAATTGAAAAATCAGTTCCTTGGCCATAGTACCCACTGACTGACTCAGTGTTCAATAGCTACACGGGACTAGTGGATATAGTTGGACATGACAGATGTAGAACATTTCCATCATTGTAAGAAGTCCTACTGGACAGTGTTGGTCAAGAGAATCTGGAGCATTCATTTCCAAACTGCTCAGTGTCTTAAATGTCACTGAAGGAAGTGCTGTCAGTTGGGAGTTCCAGAACCTTTCATAAGAGCAGTTCTGGTGTCTTCTATTTTTTATCTTGACACCCAGCTATAATTTTGTTTGAAGGAAACATTTGGACACCACCCATGTAGAGAAGTGGGTAGACTGTCTTCCATTAAATGCCATCGCTCTCAAGGGAACCTTAAGTTATTTAGAGACAGTGGACTTTACTTTTTGCACTTCGGACCTTAATCTCGAGTACGATTCAGAGTTGCCAATTAAATCCAGAGCCAGGGTCTGGAGAATCAAGGAGCCTAATAAGGACATGTCAAAGTAGACTAACCATCCATTTCCACTAGAAGTTGAGCTGGTACTTGGCTTTCCTCTAGCTGCTGAATCAAGCCTAAACCCGTCTCATTATGTAAGGTCTTGTATAAACAGTGGAGGGGAGTGAAACTCACTACTAGAAGCTAATAGACTAGATAAAACTTGCTCGGTTTCTTTTGCTCTGTTTATTCCTTCCAAAAGGCTTATTCTTATAACATATTCCTTTTTTAGGGAACAGATTAAGCGAGTGAAGGACTCAGATGATGTACCTATGGTGCTAGTAGGAAACAAGTGTGATTTGCCAACAAGGACGGTTGACACAAAACAAGCCCATGAACTGGCCAAGAGTTATGGGATTCCATTCATTGAAACCTCAGCCAAGACCAGACAGGTAGAGTCCAGCTTCCAGCACCTGGCAAGGGTTTGTTGAAGGCAGAAAGGTTTGATTGATTGACTCTTTGCTAGAGCTCTGATCCTCATTCTTTGTTGTTACAGATTTTTAATAGTGTTCTATTTTCATCTTTGCTTTAAACCCAAAATGAACTTGTTAATATCCTGGTGTGCATTTATACTCCTGCATTAACATGCACAAATAGTACTAAAATGAAGACCTTTGATTCAAGATACTTGTAAGCATTAGTCTTTTCTCCAACACCAGCCACTCTTTAGGGTTTAAGTTCTTCTGAATGGAATCTTTACATCAGGTAGTTCTGTATGTCCCACATTACCAGTTTTTCTTAGCTGGAATGTTATTTTTGCAAAATGTGCCATTAGTATATCTGTCTCTTAATGTGATTCAATAGAAATACTAAATTCGGTGTCCTCTTTCTACGCTACCCTATTTTATCAGTTAGTGATTTAATCATTGGAATTCTAAATCCACATAAAGAAATGAGAGAGAGCTTACAACTTGGATTGTGTCTTTTAGGCTGTCTTTTCATTTTCTTTTAAAGGGTGTTGAAGATGCCTTTTACACACTAGTAAGAGAAATACGTCAGTACCGAATGAAAAAACTCAACAGCAGTGATGATGGGACTCAAGGTTGCATGGGGTTGCCTTGTGTGGTGATGTAACAAGGTGAGCATGTGGTCTCTGGGCATAATTACAAATTGGGCAGTTTGGAGGAGTGTTGCTATTATTTTTTATGTTGTAATTTACCTGATAACTTCTCGCTTACAACTATAAAATGTTTCCCTTACAATGCCCCTCCTGAGAGTATTGAGGTTTAACCTGTTTTTTAAACATTATTTTACAGACATGGTTACTTTTCAATAATATTAGAAATTAGAAGACATTATTTATGAAATGTATGAATACCACATTCTTGGCATTGACCAGGAGTTTGAGGAATCACTGCATTAAAACTAGATGATAATGACATGGTGTGTCTTTTTTTCTTATAGACACTTCTAAAGTTCTAGCATCAGAAAAGAGCCACTGTCCAGGTAGGATCCGTTTGGAAGTGAATGGGTCATTCATACTGATTTCTTCACCTGGTGTTTCTTACACTCTCTGGTGACATTTACACACACGTTCCATCTCGTTTCAGCTGCACTGACGCCCTGGTCCTGACTTCCCTGGAGGAGAAACAAGTATTCCTGTTGCTGTCTTCGGTCTCACAGAAGCTCCTGCTACTTCCCGATGCTCCATAGATCAGTACCATGTTCTCTATCTGAGAAGTTCTCAGAATAACTACCTCCTCACTTGGTTGTCTGACCAGAGAAATGAACCTCTTGTTACTCCCCAATATTTTTCCACTCTGGGTTCTCCCCAAACACCGCTGCCACCCCAGGTTTTTCATCTGAAAAGCAATTCGTGCTCTGAAACAGAACCACACTGTAGACATGAAATTCTCTAGAAAACAATGTCTTGAGCTCTAATGTAGCAACTGCTGGTGATTATCTTTTTTTTCTTTTTACTTTGAACTTGGAACTATATTTGGGGGGGAAATGTCATAAATTACTGTTTTGCTGAGAATATAGTTAATGTTGGTGTTTGGTTTGTTTATAATGTTATCGGCTATAAACTGGCATCTGCTCTGTATTCGTAAATACAAAGGTGAATACAGACTTTGGAGTCTCTCCTACTCTTCTCGACTTTCATGCAATTAAATCTAACTTTCACAGTGAAGTGCCTTTTTCCTAGAAGTGGTCTGTATACTTCAGTGGAGCGGATGTTTAAAAAACCATTACACGTGGAAGTGAATGTCTGAGTTATGTCTGTGACCTCTCTGCCTTTGCGGGAAAGATGTGCCGATACAGCAGCAGATGCCATTTCTTACCACATGAAGTTGGCTTTGACCTGTTTTTAGGTTCTCCCAAGAGAAAGTTGAAACTGGAAACAATTATATTTCATTTGTTTTTTTACCTGTGCTCCACTTTTTTTTGTAGGTTACTAACTATGAAATGTATGTAATTTGTTTCTTCTAGCTTACTGATAATCAGTGAACTTCCATTTGTATTTAAATTTGGGTTCTATCAGAAAGCTCTACATTTACAGGTGTGCAAAATTGTAAACATTGGATGCTGTTTTATTTAATACTGAGATCAATGATTTTCAAGCCTCAGACATAATATATTAATAGACACACTTTCAGTACATATCTTGGTATCTTAGTGATGTATATAATTGCCCTCAGTCACCTTTTCACCCCACCCCCCATCCCTCAACTGCAGTTTGATTCATTATTTCAGTTGATAAAGCATGGTGCTAAATGGACCAGGGTTACCGCTTCAAAACGTGAGCAAGCCCGTTAGCATCACAGAGGGAGAGGGAGCAACTCTTCCACCAGTAACCTCGGCTGGTAGTTTTGCCGAATGCATGCTGTTATCCTGCAAGGAAAGAAAAGGTCAGTTCACACAAGTCCGTTATCATGATGGAAAAGGCTTGGTACCCTGAGGAGGGTCAGCTTAGCAGTCTTCAGAAACCAAGTGTCTAGACCAGCCATGGGCAAACTACGGCCAGCGTTTGAAATGAATAAAACTAAAAAAAAAAAAAAGACCGTACCCTTTTATGTAATGATGTTTACTTTGCATTTATATTAGTTCACACAAACACTCCATCCATGCTTTTGTTCCGGCCCTCCGGTCCAGTTTAAGAACCCATTGTGGCCCTCGAGTCAAAAAGTTTGCCCACCCCTGGTCTAGACTCTTTTTCAGCCGAAACTAAATGTAGCCAATATTTTTGTCATTATGTTTTTTAGAATGAGGGTACCTCCGATCAAAATGTTTTAAAATTTTCTTGACTCATTATGTTCTTTGAAGAGTTTAAGACGAGGTGTTGATGAGTTGGTCTGCATGCGAGCTATCAGAAGCTGAGTGTGCTCAGAGCAAGAAGCCGTTCAATTGGAATTGCTGTTAAGAAAGGAATGGAAACCATAATGAATTGTTAGTTTTGAGGCTTTGGGAAACTTGGCTTTTCCATTTGCAAATAGTATCCTGGTAATTCTAATGAAAAATAGACTTAGGTAACTTTTGATAAAAGCCTAATTCCAAAATGGTCACTTTCTGCTCTGGTCTTTTAGTGTCTAAATACTTACTGAGGTCCTCTGTCTTCTGGTATGAAGTTTCACTTATCACACAAACTCCACATGGCCTTGAAGTGAGTTCAGAAGAGAGGAAGCACTCTATACTGTGTCCAGAGTTTAATGAACTCAGAGAGCCGTGCTCCTGCGTGTTCGTTCTGAGTTTTCACAGTGCTGTTGACACCTGGTAGCAGGAACTTGCTGCTGCTTTGTTTCTGCTGCTTTTGGAGCATTGCTCTGTCATTTTTCTTTTTCTAATATATGTTTATTGATTTCAGAGAGGAAGGGAGAGAGAGAGAGAAACATCAATGATGAGAGAATCACCAATCGGCTGCCTCTTGCACGCCCCTTATTTGGGACCGAGCCCACAACCCCGGGCATATGCCCTGGCTGGGAATTGAACTGTGACTTCTTGGTTCATAGGTCAAGGCTCAACCACTGAGCCACGCTGGCCAGGCAGGCACTTCGTCATTTTTCTTGAGGCTGGATTGAAGCTTGTCACCTCAGTTGCCCTCATTTGTCCTTGTCTCCCTCTTCCTCCTCTCGTGTATGTTACTGACAGTATGATTCTTTTTCTAATGTCAACTTAGGGGGAAGGATAACTGATCTGGGGCTCTTGTGCCCATAGCCCTTGTTTGTGCCCATAGCCCTTAGCCCATAGCCCTTATCATTCACTCAAGTATGTTGTAAGCACAGAAGTATCTAAATGGGGCCAGAATTCAGACTTGAAAATGTTCTTTTAATAGCTTCTTAAGAAGTTATATTTAGGTGTGAATTTTGGCACAGTAGAGTGACAAAGTTACAGTTAAATGCTGAAAAGCTTCAGTTAGTGTGGTATAAAGTGTGGTGTTTAGAGTATGTTTGTAATTGCTGAAAACAATTCTAATTTACCTCAACATCTGAAAGTCTCTCTCCCCAAGTTAAGTGCCTGGCCAGCTGTTGTAAATTACACATTACTTTGTTTTTTAAAGGTTGCACGTTCAAGAGTGTGAAAATATGATGTTCTGTGTAAAGGCTACCACGCCTACCCTGTTAAGTGCTGTATTTGCTCCCACAGCTTCCTATAGGATGTTACTTGGTAATATGGTATCATACTTGTTACAGTTTCCACTTCAAGAGTGAAATGGGTAAAATTGTTCTCATGTATTTTAGTGGGCCCCGTGTTTAGTCTGTTCATGGTCCTTTAAACTGCTGTGAATTTTTTTGTCTTGACTTGAAATCAAGAATAGAGAAACACTTTAAAGAGATATTTTGTTTTTTTCCCATTCCAGAATTGCTGAGCTTAATCATATTTTGTTTTACATTTACAGTCATGAACTCTTAAGCTGGCAGCTACAACAAAGAACCAAAAAATGGTGCACGCACTCTGCTTCTTGTAACTCATCTCTGCTAACAGGTTACAAGAAACAGGATTATTAATTAGGGGAAATATTTTATTTGGGTTGTTTTCATAAACAGGGGACTGTAACTTTGTACATTGTTTTACATCTTTGTTGTTTCTTTAAGCAGTCCAGTGTGCCACAGTTATTTGAAGGTGTTCCCTACGAGAATTGTTTGAAAAGTGTTCTTGTTATAAAAGTAGTTGTAGATATATTTCAAATATAACTGGTGATTTTTAAAAGCCTGAGTACTGACCTAAGAAGCAATTGTATGACTTCTACTCTAGAGGGAAGGGATCTCAATGGGTGTTGTGTGACTTTTATATTTCTGTGCCATCAAATATAGGTCAAATGATTGATTGTGCAATTCTGCTGTTTAAACGGCAACTATTGGCCTCCTTGGCCCTAAATGAAAGGGCTGATATTTTAAGTTGCCTATTTTATTGTAAATTAATCCATCTAATTTTTAAATCTTTGGTTGAATGTTTTTCTTTTCAAATGTTTAAAAAATAAAAACTGGAAGTTCTTTGCTCAGTTATCATTTTTCTCCCCACTAAAGTGCCTTTATTGAAAGTTAATATTCATTGCAAACTTTTGAATGTGACAGTGTTGGAAGACCTGAGTTCCTCATTTGATCTCAATCTAAAATGTCAAAGCGTGCTTTAAATGATTACTTGGGGGTGATTCACAGCCCAATGATTCATAGCTATATGTCACATTCTCTCACATTAATATGAAGTGCTTAAAACTACCACTGGAAATCTTTTGTCCCATCTGCATTACTGCATAGTCTACCCATCTTGGTACAGTTGGAAGAGCATTGGGCTAGGAGCCAGACAACATGGGTTCCAACCATAATTTTCTATTCCAGCCTACAGTGTCCTCATTTATAAAATAGGGAAGTTGAATGAGGATATCTCAGATTTCCCAACCCGAATTAAGGAGACATGTTTATAAAAGAATGCTATCAAACTTGGGCTTCTCCACCTAACCCTGGAATACTGATCATTAGGACCTTGGTTTATTCTACCAAAGGCTTCAATTGTTTTATTTTTTTTCCTTAAAAGGGGAATAGGGAGGCGATAGTTAATATTTGGCCAAATTGAACTTAAGAAAACCAAATGTAAGTGACAAACACTGTTTATACAGGAGGCTACCATGAAGAGTATAAAATGCATGTGAAAAAGAAGCAATCATGGACTTTGTGTATGTAGGACAGATTTCCCCCTTAAATCAAGCACTGATGCTACATAGCAGATATTTTCTTCTGCCGATACTTGACCCCACAATATCTGAGAAAGTAAAGGTTTTCTTCTGATAAGAGCTGCTATTCTGCTCAGCAAAATGAAGCTGCAGCCCTGGCTGGTTTGGCTCAGTGGATAGAAGGGCCCCGGGTTCAATTCCAGTCAAGGGCCTGTACCTTGGTCACAGTCTGCTCCCTGGCCTGGGCCCTGGTTGGGGCTTGTGCAGGAGGCAACCAATCATTTTTCTCTCACATCGATGTTTCTCTGTCTTTCCCCTCTTCCACTTTCTCTAAAAGTCAATGGGAAAATCTCCTTGGGTGAGGATTACAAAATAGTGAAGCTGCAGAGAGACATGAAAAAGCTAAGAAGCTTGTTTATTTGGAATGTGAGGGGACTTCCTGTGTGTCTGTGCTATTAATAATGGTTTCTGTTGTCACCACAGGCAATACTGAAGGTCCTTAAAAGGCCAGCATAGTTGCATCGTTATTTGATATCCATAAATACACGGAAAGGGGCCAAGAGGCTGTGCGGGGATCATTTTGCAGAGCTGCTGAATGATCCATGACTTGAGAGCACAGAGAGAAGGTCCAGGACCCAAATGGGAAGGGTATGCTCATGGTGCTTTAAAAATACCGCTGGGCAATGAAATGTGGTCCTGTACCTCAATAAAAGCAGACGGGGACTCTGGGAACATGCAGAATGCAGATCTCAGATCCCCTCTGCAGTGCCAACAGGAACAAAAGTTTCAGGTTTGTGAGCTGGACGTAGACCTAGTGAACTGATCATTCTTATCTGGAGACTGTCCTCATGGCTTCACGCTTGCACCAAAATAGTTTATCTGTTAACCTACTGGAGGGGGCTTAAAACCTGCATAAATGCAGATTACCATGAAGTTTTTGGAGGCGTATAAAGAGAGCAAGCACCTGCTATCCTGGGGGTTCATACCAAATGTTTCTAAAGATAGAGGCAGCTACATGCCCAAGGGGAGGGCATGATTGGAACTGAGCAGTTGGGTCTTTCAGATGGGGGAGCCTGAAATATTATCCAGGTTAGGAAAAGCAATCTTCTAGAATGGCTGCTGTGGAAGCAATAAAACTGGCACTAATGACACAGTCTGTAGGAGCTTGACATATATGAATTACATCAATATTTAGGTCTGAAAGAGAAACTCCGTGTTATTTTAAAACATCTTAAAATAAATCAGTTCACATTTACAACTGAGACCCAACATCCCTGAAGTGAATGGTGGGGTTTTTTAATGAGTGGAATGAAGTTGAAATACAGTTTGAAAGTTAGATAAAGAAATCTCAGTTTATGCTTGTTTTATAAATTGGAGGGGTTTGACAATATTAAAGTCCAAAGTGAAACTCTAACAGGGCACATGAACTGAAATGACCAAGGCCTGTGCCCCTGTCGCCCCATCATTCTGGAGCTGCTATGACATTCAGATCTCGCTGTGAGGCACAGCCGCATGCCCTAACAAAATACATTTGTCTCGCTGGCTGAGTGAATTTTCCTTATGACCTTTCTTCCCAATTCATTTAGTAGGTTTTTACTGAGCACCTACTACACGCCTAGACACGTGCTGCTCTGGGCATACAGCAGTGAACCAGATAGCCAGTGGTTCCTCGTTCATCTTTTATATTCAGTGAAGATGTCTCTAAAACAACATTTTTTAGTTGCAGGTTGGTGATTGTTTCAAGGGAAAAGGACACTGTTTTCTCTGAGACATAACTTATTTAACCCTAGTGTTCCAACTGCCGCCCTTCTGACACTGCCCGAGGGTCACCTCCTTCCCAGTTTTTCTGAAAATACTCAAGGCTACCCACAATGCACCAGACCCTGACGCATGCCTCATGGCCATTTGGGCCTCTGCTTTTCAAGTCAAGGCTCCGTGGAAACAGAAATTATCTATTGCTTTGCAATTTCAAAGTGCGCAAATACCTCACCCCAGTTAATCCTCCACAACAGCCATATAAAATAGGAATGGTCTCCGTTTTACTGATGAGAAACTGAATCCACTATAAATAGATGTATTTAACTCAAATTTGAACCCAGGTCTTATGATTTCAGATCTCGTGCTCTTTTTGGTTCCTTAGTAGTTTTCAAACCATGCTGCTCAAAGCCCCAGGATTGTCTTAAGGGAGATGTTTGAGAAAGTCTGTGTGTGTGTTTTGGGGGGAGGGAGGGACTCTGCTCTTCCTCCCCAGCCCCGCCCCCTTCAACAAGCAGTTCCACTTTCATCACTGAGGCTTCCATTCAAGATTTAGTTTGAAGATTTCATAAGTTGAAGTACCCCTTGACTTCACCAATCTACTCCTACAGCCATCTATCAAGCTGGGAGTCACTATACCGCCTCCTCATGTCTAGTCCAGAATCCCCTGTCCTCTGGGCACAATGATGGTTAGTGCACAACTAACCAAAGTGAGGCAGCACATGACACAGCGGGGCCGCAGTCCCTGGGCTGGAATCCCACCACTGCCACTTCCGAGCCGTGAGACCGCGGGCAAATCAATTTCTTCTTTAATATGTTTGGGGTTTTTTAATTGATTTTATAGAGAGGAAAGAGAGGAATAGAAAGATAGAAACATCAATGAGAGAGGAACATCAATGATCTGCGTCCTGCACGCCCCCCACTGGGATCAAGCCTGCAACCCCGCATATGCCCTGACTGGGAAACCGTGACCTCTTGGTTCCTGGGTCCACGCTCAACCACTGAGCCAGACAGGCTGGGCACAAATCAATTTCTTGTACCTGAATTTCTTCAGCTGTAACATGCAGATAACCGTGTCTCAATTTCTATAATGATAGTACCTCAAAAGACTATGGTGAAAATTAGATGAAATAATATGTGTGTGTTTTTCAGACTTGGAACAGTGCCCAGCACAGTTATTATTGCATGGACCCCATAGCATGCCTCCCTCTCTCTCTTCCCACACAGCTTGAAGTTCAGATTGTTTTTTTCAAAGCAAACTGCTGAATTTCAGTTCCATTCAAGAGACAGGAAATAAAGTCAGTTTGTCTCATGGAAAAGGATGAGTCTTATAAATTTGACTTCTTTATTTTTAGGCATGCATGGGAAATTATTACTGACAGGAAAATGAAGCTGAATCCAGAAAAAATACCATAAAATCCCACAGGTGTAGTTATACTCCAAACTCAAACTCATTCCTTGGGGATAAGATAACCGTTACACACCTCTAACAGACTGAGAGAAAAAAGTCCCTAGCTGCTGCTGGCAAAGGGTTGTATTCCCAAACCAGAAGTTGTCATGAACTTGGACTACCACCCACTGAAGCAACGTAACAAAGGATTAAGCGGATCCTGGAAGTGTATGTGAAGGGCAACCAGGAGCCACATAAAACCATGTGGGACAGGGTGCTGAGGGGGTGGAGGAGAGCAGCTCGGAGAGGAGGGAGCCAGGTTTCACAGCGGGAGGGAGACCTCCGCCAGCCAGTAGCCAGGCAGAAGGGCTTTCTGAACAAAAGAAGGCAGGCAGCGGTGGCCCTGACCCGTGTGCAGCTCATGGCTGTGAAGTGTCGTCTTCCCAGAGAACTTCAGGTTACAGGCATCTCTAACTGGATGAGATACAAGAAATCTCCCCCTTTAAAAACGTTTGTCACTTGAAAACTATGTAATCTTATTAACTAATGTCTCCCCAATAAATTCAATAACATTTTTTAAGAACACACTTGTAAATTTGTTACCCGGAACTCTGAATGTTTTCCATTGGCATAATGTTCTAAATAATGGGTAGGCCTCCATGTTAGCTCCAACCAATGCTGTCTATCATACAGCTGAAATAGTCACATGAACAACTTTTTAAAGACACAGAAAGTAATACCAGGAATCAAACCGTAACCTTCTGGTTCATAGGTCAATGCTCAACCACTGAGCCATGCCAGCCAGGCTACTATTAATATTCTTGAAATACATCTTTGAGTACCTGTATAGTAATTTCCTTAAAATGAAGTTGAATCAACAGATATGCATATTTTAAAGGTTTTTGATAAATGTATTGCCAAATTTCCTTCCAGAAAAGCTAAAATTTTAAACTTCTACCAACCACATATGAGTGTCTAATTTCCCCATATACTAAACATTGAGTATTATCAAGAAACTGCTTCTTCTTTTTTTTTTTTTAGAATCAAATACACTTCAAATTTTATGGGAAAAATAAATAAACTGAATTATTTTTTTAAAAACACCATAGTAGACTATATGCAATCTTAGGAACTCTTCATAGGATAATCAATAATTTTTCTAACCTGCATCAGCTGGAATTCCCAAGAAAACAACAGTCTCCTAAGATATTTTCATTTTTATCTTTACAAATAAATGTTTTCATATTTAGGGGTAAACACCCAGAAGAGGTGTTGCTGGATCATATGGTAGTCCTAATCTTAATTTTCTGAGGAACCTCTATAATGTTGGAAAAACAAGTTTTGAGTAGATAACTAGGGTATCTGCCACAGATGGAATGGGAAAATTTAAGGGTAACATATAAAGATAAAGCACAATAAGAGAGGAGCAGGTTTGGAGAGGAAAATGCTTGGTTTGGATAAATCAATTTGTAGATACCATTGGGCAATCCAGGTGGAAATGTCACAAAAAGGATTTGGAAAGGAATGATACATTTATTTTGGTTTAGTAACACTTTATAATGTGTTCCAATATTGCTGATTGAAATATAATTATCATAAAGCTAAGCATTAAAATATTCAGTTTTTGCCAACAGAAAGGCTTGCCCCAATTTTCAATATAAAATAGTTATTTAAAAAAAGGTCAGCCAGCCTATGCCCATAATTCTCCTCCAAATCTGAAGTTCCCACCTGTTGCTACTGTCTTGAACATAAGATGTTAATAATTCATCATTTCTGCTGAGTCTTTCTTTACCTAACAGTAACTATCACCTATTTAACCATAACTAAGGCTCTGTTTTATCGTGGGAAATGCATGATATTTCGCTCCAGAGACCATTGGCTTTGCCATTTACGAACAGAATGACTTTGGGCAAGACACTTCACTTCCCAGAGCTCTGGTTTTCTTATTTGGGAAGCAGGACTAAGGTACTATTTCCCTTACAAGATCGTACTTAGGGTCAAAATAATGTTTGCAAAGTGACTATATATATATATATATATATATATGCCAAATATGCAAAGTGTCCCCTCAGGAGTTGGACCGACCAGGAATTTGATCACTCACTATGACGTGCGCTGACCACCAGGATGCAGTGCGGAACAAAGGGAGGCCCCAGCAGGCAGCTGGCAGCCGCTAGGAACCCTACCTGTGCACGAATTTCGTGCACTGGGCCTCTAGTATGCTATAAAATGTTATACAAAAGAAAGGTATATTTCTTTCATAACAATATATAGAGTAGGGGTAATTGAGCACTGTAGATGGCAGTTGAGTTTCAATAAGATTTGAAGTAAACTACTAGCTAATTAATTAAATAAATTCTGCCAGGTGAATTTCTGCTAAGTCAGGGATATTTCTGAGAGAGAGAGAAAGTGAGTCTCTTGAGGGCTTGATGAATATACCAGCATATTCACCAACCTCAGAAAGTTGTTTTCATCCCTGAAATTTTGAGGACCTCGAGTTTCCAGATGCCTGGAAGACTTCCCTGTATTTCACTAGGGTGGGAAATAATCTCAGGATCAACTCATACAAGAAAATGACACTTGAAGAGCATTCACTCTGTAGGACGATTTGGAGAGGACTGGAACGCAATTCCTGGCCTACCACTGAGACCTCTTCTAAAATCCCACAGTAAAGATCGGAAGCTTCACATGGTTTTCACTGTCCATTGCCTAAAGCTATAAATAGGTCTAAAGCTCATCTCGCTCCTTTTAGCCGAGACGGGTCAGATTACAGGAGCAAAGCAAAAAAAATAAAATAAAAGTCAGGGCCCTTTTTACTGTAGGGCAGTCCTCCCCACGTTCTCCTCTCTCCTCCTTCCTACTGTGCTATCCTAGAATCAAGGATCCCAGCAACAATGCCTCTGTTGAAACTTACAGGTAGGTGTGCAACAGTGTTTGGAGAGCACAGTTCTTTTAATAGGCAACCATTCCTTTAACTATCACATCAGCTCTGGTGATCCTTTATTTAGGATTTATAGTAGCCTTAATAATACATTTCAGGAAGAGGCAAGACAAGGTTTTTCAAGTTTGGGATTTTTTTTCCCCCTTAGTTTTGGGAGGGAGGTAATTTTCTAAAACTATCATGTGGTAGCAACTTTGACGATCCCGGTAGGAAACTGTGTAAGGTATTTAATATCTACTCTGCTACTAGGCAAAGCCTGTGCTGCCACGCTTCTGAGAAGGGTGTGTACAATGTCTCCAGCTACAGGATTAGCTGGAAATCAGGACCATAATGGAAATACTAACCCAATCTCTGTATTCTGATGGTTCAACCCAGGTTTGTACACAGAGTAATTTTTAAAATAAGTTATGTCTTCTTCATTAAAAAGGTAATACATGTTTCACATGAAATAAAAAGAGAGGAATTCTACCAAAAAGTAAAAGTAATAAACACTCATTTAGAGAAACTGGGGAGTTAGGGAAAGTAGTAACAAGAAAAAAACAACCACCACAGTCCCATCATCCAAAGATATCACTTTTAACACATTGGTGTTTTTCTTTTCAATCTATTTTCTTTGTAAATGTAAAGATTAAACACACACACACAACTGTGATTATATTGCATGTCATTTTATATGGTGCCTCTTTTCTTTTTTGCTTAACATTGTAACTTAATCATTTGCCATAGTCCTCCAAACCCTTTCTAAACATCATTTTAAAAAATTGATTTTACACACACGATTTATAGTTCACTGGTTCTTTGTATGTGCCCTGACTGGGGATCAAACCTGAAACCTTGGTGTATCAGGACGACACTTCAACCAACTGAGCTACCTGGCCAGGACCTAAATATAATTTTAAATAGCTACATAATTCCAAGCTGTGTAATCCCTTAGGTTCTTTACAGTTTTTTATAAGTATGAATATGCTCTGAGAATGATATTTGCACTAAATATTTTTTCGTGTTTAAGAATGATTTTAGTAGGATAGACTCTCAGGAAATGGCTGGTAGGTGTTAGCTGTTTCAGTTTACCTGCTACCAGCATCACGTAAGAGTTTCCATTCCTTTTGATCAGGTTTTCTTTAAAATGACATTTTTATAAAGAGTACCTCTTTATGATTATAAACAAAAATTTAAAGAGACGTTAGAAAATAAAATAAAATGAAGAGTTGTATAAGGACTATGTTTCCAGGTCTTTTTTGATGGCAGCAAATTGCAGGTTAATGGAAGAGTGAGCTGTAACAACACATTCCACCACACCCCTTTTTGTACCACTCTACATATTTCTATTCCAAAGCACTAAGGAATAGCCACTATGATTTCTGAAAGTTGTTCATATAAATTGTCTTGTTTTATTTTACTTCATACAGCTGAAGAAAAACGTGAGTATATGGGACTATTTTCCCCGGCATTTGCCAAAGTATCAATTTTTAAAAGATACTATCCCAGAAACATGGGTGTTTTTCAGCAGTGTTTATTAAATGACACCACTGAGAGCCAGCAAAGCTAGCTCTAATGACCAGAGATATCCCATAGCATAGCAAATGAGCTCACGGGTTTTCCAGACCAAACCCCCCCGCCCCCCAAAAATTCCTCTTTTTAAAAAAGTGAATCTCAGGGGACATTCATTTGAAAATTTGAAATGAAATCATTTTCTCCTTTAGAGATAGATTAGCCAAGGGGATCTATTGAGTCTTGCTTTCGTAAACTCTCAACTCCAAAGCAAAATATAATATGGTGAATTTTTGTGATCCGGTAAAATAAAAGCCCGTTTTAGATAAAACTGGAACTTTACATGTATGTTCCCCTCCAGCTCAAATGAGACTTGTCCTTTAGCTGACTGTTGGTAGGTCTGCCTCTGAGTTCCTCTGTGAGATGAGATGTGGGCGATGAAGGGCCTACAAGCTGTCCTTCCTCCCCATTGACAAAGCACTGCTGAGAAATAAGCATGCTTTTCTGGATCTGCTGGGTGAAGAGCAAGCATGGTATTCCTTTTCTCGAGTCTTGCATTTCCTATGTTAATAATAATAATCCCCAACTTCTGGCTAGGACTGTGTCGTTTTAAAATTATTCCTTTTTTAAATCTTTTTTTCAGTTACAGTTTACATTCAATATTATTCTGTTCTTGTTTAATCTTTATGACAATTCTCTGAAGTTGACATTATTATTATTAATGCTTGCCTTTTATGATGATGAACACTGAGACACCACCGATTGTGTGGTTTGCCCCAGGCCACCCATGGTCACGGACACTTTTTCTCACTCCTTAGGCCACTGTTCTTTCCGCTTCGCCCTCTACTCCTTGTTTCTGTTCTCTTGTCTGTTCTCTCTCTGAACATAGATGTCCTAACCTCAAGGCAGTTCGACTCAGATGCTCCATCCCCTCCCACACGACATGCTCAGAAAAGAGCCCAGCGATGATCTGCACAAATCCATGGGCATATCTGTCCTTCAGGCCATGAATCCAGGTTGTCACCAAATCTTATCTGCTCCTCTTCTCAAACACCAGCCTCACGCTTTCCTTTCAGCAACCACCACTCCCTGAAGTATTTTTGAAAGGCAGAGCTCTTGAATTACGAGTCAAATTTCAGCTGTGGTTACATGAAATCAAAACAACTGGTTGATTCAGTGGAAGGAAATATCAACCATATGATTTTTGTAAAAGACTTTTTTTTAGTTGATTCAATTTTATTGATTTTATGAAATAACTTAACCATGCATATTTCACTTAGATACTAAAGTTTTGCTGTTGGTTTTTAAAAATTTCATCTTTATTGTTGAAAAGTATTACAGATGCCTCCTTCTTTTCCCCCGTTGACGCATATTGTCTGTGTCCAGGGGTTATGCATAAACTACTTCTTGAGAGTAGAATTTCTGCTTTTCAACTGTCTCTAGTGGCTTAGGAAGATACAATCTTAGTAAAAACAATCATATTTTAAAATATGAAACAGATAGATGTGTGCAGTCCCAGAGAATGAATGCTTATCTGGAAGAGCCAGATCTCAAGCACCTAGGACTTGGCTCCTGGGCATCCATTTCATCCCGTCCTTGCTGAGGCCTCCAACAGCATCGCCACAGACCCAGCACCCTCATCCTCATCCTCTTCTTCATCATCATAACCCACTGGCCTGCTACCATTGGCCCTTCGTGATGCATGGAGCTTCTAACATCTGCTTGCCATTCATTCTTGAGGTGCATGTGCTTGTTGGTGATGCTCAGGGAGAAATGATACGCCTTCAGTGGGCAGTGGGGTGGGGGAGGCATTCTCAAACCATCAAATGTACCTATTTAATGTTTTGTTTGTTCCTTCGTGGATTGTGGTGCTTGCCAAAGAACTACTCAGAGCACTTTAAGATGCTTTGCAGTTTCAGAAAGTGCTTGAGTTTAATGGAGCAAATGGATGTGTGAAGTTCAGCCAACATAGAGGGCTTCTCTGTTACTCAGCTGTGACAGGCCAGGTTTTGAACAGTGGCTGACTGTTCGTGGTGTTGAAGTTATGAATCAATGACTGTCATTTCTAATGTGTGCTTCAGCCTGTACTAAGTCATGTCACTTATCATTCCTTTAATAGCCCAAAGCTAACTCAGAATGCCAAATATCTGTCTGACCAAGGCTACAAATGACACCAATCAGCTATTCTGGTGTTTTATTTCCCTTAAAGCATTTCCACGTACATTATCTCACCTTGTGTCACGATAGCCTGGTGAGCGAGGTTTGGTAGGCATTAGTATCCCCACGGTACAGAGAAGGAAACGGAAACAGAGGAAGGTGAAGGAGTTGGTACGTGCAGAAGAGAGACTTGAACACGTTACACTTACTTAAGATAGAATTGAAATGGGGCATTTTGGAGACCTGTAGAGACGCTGATGGGGCGGGAGTGGGGGATCTTCCTCTTTGCATGCACTTTGCTTTGTCATCGTGTGAAGAATGTTCGTCTTCTACTGTCGCTCCAAATAGCTGGTTGCCATTTTCCTTATTTGCTACCTAGGCTTTGCTGGAAAAAACCAAGAGACATTTAGAAGTATTAGAGGTAATGACTCTTTAGATGGAAACAACTGGGTATCTGGAAAATACGGTGGGATGCTGATCGCCATCACCACCCTTTCTTACATCCTGAGAGCCTTGGGGTTGTTCATTGCCGAGCTAAAGGTCACCCTTCCACCCGTTTTAAGAATGGAAAAATTAAAGCACGTTACAGTGGCTTTCCAAGGCTCACTCAGAAATGGGACTCCCAACACTAGGTAGTAAATTTTAGTGGTCTCCTTCCCCCCTATGCCAGCATTTTCCTAAGTTGTCAGGATTTTGGGGGAAAACAAACGAGGTTGTAATATAAGAGAAAAACACAATATCTATCCTATGAGGAAGAAAGACCCTAAGTACACTTTTTTTCCAGAAGTACTCAGATCATTGGTTCTCTTTAGGAAGAAAAACTCCAGGGACCAACAACTCTATGTACATCTTTAACCACCCCGCCCCCCCCCAAAAAAAAAATAAATAAATAAATAAAACACTCCTCCAACCTAACTGAAGGACTATGCCGCATGGTTACCATGGTATCAAACTTAGCGCTGTCAGGTAAGGTGATCTTACGTTAAGTGCTAGTCCTACAAGAGCCCAAACCCATCTTCAGGAGCCTCCTGAAAAGTGTCGTAAGAATCGGACCTGTGTTTCTGATCATGGATTTCCAAGCTACCCACACCAAGCCACTCAAGAGAGAGCAGCAGCAACTCGCACACATTTCTGGGACACTGGTCAGAGAGCAGGGGAGCCCTGCACCCCGGGCAGTCCTGAGCACTGTGCCTCACACATAGCAGAAACCCTCGATGACTTCTGCGGAAGTGCTTGAACACTAACACGCAAACACCTCTTTCAGAGATGGATGATGCCATGCGTAGCTTTGCTGAAAAAGTGTTTGCCTCTGAAGTCAAAGATGAGGGGGGCCGTCAAGAGCTTTCCCCCTTTGATGTGGATGACATCTGTCCAATTTCCCATCTCGAGATGCAAGCACACATATTCCACATGGAGTCTCTGTCCACCTCCACAGCAGGCAAGAGGTAAGTGGTGTAAGGGGGGTACTTAGTACATTGGGACGCAAAGAAGGGGAAATGTCAGGACAGGTGGTTCAGTGTGTCTGAATGATGGTTCAACTCAAAGGAAGAATTCTGCCAGAAATTTAAAATTTCTCCTCCAACCCCCTTTATATACACTAGGGCAAGGGAACAATCACTAAAACGGGAGAAAACAGTGGCCCTCCTACCCTCAGTCACAACTCCCTTTAGTTGAAGACGCCATATCCACCTGAGCAAGAGGACATGAGCTACTATGCGCTTGTTCCAAACCAAAGTGGGCTGATGGCCGCTGTGCACACACTCAACGTACGCCTGATGGGTTCAGGAACTGGAACTCGGGAGCCTCATCTTGAGACTCCAACCTTAGCCAGCCTTAGTGTTCTGCTACCTGATATGAATCCTGCCCTCCAGCCAGTCGGACCTCCTCCAGGCCCAGGAGCACAGCCTTCCATTTCTGCCTCCCTGCCCTCCTACCCTATGCATATAATGCAGAATTACTGCCTCCCAACAACTTCCATAGATCCCTCTCCACAAATCTGTTTATTTTCCCTTATTTGAGCGACTCCACTACTCAGTGTCTGCCATGATTTAGAACTCAGACCTATATCAACCACTTACCTGGAACCTCCTCTTCATAGCACTCCCCCAACCTTCCACCCCTCGCTCCACGGGGGAGAGATCATTCTGCTGCCTTCCTCTTGGCTCTATGTCTGTAAAGAGAACAACAATCCACCTTCTTTGGCATCCCCCATAGGACTCAACATCGGGTTTGGATCAATAAGTACTTGCTGATTTGAAGAAGTAATATTGATTATTCAACTTGTAAGTTCCAGGTATTGTGCTAGGCATTTTATGTACATGAAATCGTACAGAAATTCTATAAGGAAGGCATCAGTACACAATTTTTTGCAGATGGGAGACAGAAGCTCACAGAATTGAAAGAATATGCACAGGTAGTAACTGATGCATCCTGTGTTTACTGCAGTCCCCAGACTGCCTGTTCTGCTAGGGGTGGGCACCTGGGAACAACGTCATGCTGAAAGCCTTCTAGAATGTTCCCTCAAGCCCACTGCTCCAGGAGGAAGGGAACAGTCATGTGATATCTCCTCCCATATGGTTGGATCCTGTTTCTGACACCCAACCCACAATTTAGTTTTCACTTTTTGTTCTCCAAATGAAATTGCATAGTGAACATCAATTTATCACAATGAAACTTCCAATGAAGACAAAGATAAATCCTTTTATTTTTTTCATTTTAAACCCAGAAAAAAGCGTTTCTTCGGACGGAAGACTATTAACCTGTCTATTCCACAAAGTGAAACATCGTCCACCAAAATGTCCCAAATCGACGAATACATCTCTTCATCTCCAACCTACCAGGAGGTGCCCGATTTCCAGAGAGTGCAGATCACCGGGGATTATGCCTCGGGGGTGAGTAGCTCCTGGTCCCTAACTGCTGGGAAGACACTCAGCTTGATTGTTTCAGCTTCTTACCTTCATCCCCTTCCTTTTGAGAAAGGTGTTAGCTCCCCTGCCCTGTGTTATACATGACTGCATTTCAAAAACAATATGCCAGGACTTATATTTCTGTCTTGCTTTCATATTTTTGTTAATTTCTCCTTTATCTCATTTCTTGCACCTGGGGAATATGCAGTAGAATGCAGTGTGTGTGTGTTATACAATATAGTGGACAGATTTGAGCAAAAGAACCAAAGGAACCAGCTGGTGGACTGTTCTCACTGAGGGCATCACCAAGCAGGAAAGGGAGCCTCCAGGAGGCACAGGGGGGCTCCTGGGAAAAGATGGACCCAGGACAGACGTAGAATAGGGAGAAGGGCTACAGGCAGCATGACTCAATCCAGGAAAAAGAAGGGAAGAGAGAGAAGAGTGGAGAGACCAGAAAAAAGCAGGACAATGAGAGACAGGTGAGAAAATTCTAATGGGGCTATTACCCTTTGACCAACTGTCCTCTCCAGTTTCATTACAGATGCTTACATAATAGAGGGTGGCTTGGAACAGGCTCTAGGATGCCACAGGAACAGTAAGTTCGTGGCATAAACAACTTGACCTGCCTGCTCTACCCAGAACAGTTGGTCAGTTAATAAATCTCTGCCACATGGACATGCAGAATCAGCATCGTATCGATGAAAGTGCTGTTTAGTCATCAGTCTATGCTCCAAATATAGTTTTCCTGACCAGTCCTCAGCCCCTTTCTCTGCAACTGACCCACTTAGGGTTGGTCCTGAGGTATTGGAAAGTCACAGAGCAGTGCAATGACCACTATTGTTGTTTATTCATTTTCTGTGCCCAGATCCGTCTTCACCCTGTTAACTGAACAGAGAGGTAGAGGGAAACCAGGGCTAAGTTCTCAAGGTCACTGATCTCTGGTAACAACTGATTAAGTTTAATCTGTCCTTACTGAGCACCGACTCTGTGGTAGGTATGGTGTGCTGAGGACACGAAGGTGAATAAGATCTAGATCTTACCCTTGAGGAGCTGATAAACTGGTGACCCATTAGGTGGCGAGACAAGCACGCCATGAAAGCAGACCCTCAGACCTAGCACCTACGCCAGACTCGCTTGGCCAAGGTCAGCAGCTCTTTAAAGAGTCCAACTGATTAGAATCAATATCTGGGAACCACTGGGAACAAGCCTGCATAGGCCGGTCTAGGAAATTTCCAGCAATTCCAAGACCATTTCACTCCAGAATCTCTCCACTTTTAGCCGCAGATAAAGTTCTCTTTAAAATCATCCAAAAGAATGAGCTCTCACAGGATGATGTTCTGATCCATTTAAAGCTACAGAAGGCATGTTAGGATTTGAGGGATGCATGACACTCTACTCATCCCAAAATATTGCCCTCACTGACCAGCAAGTGGTTGGAATTCTCCAATGAGAGTCACATTGCCTTTCAGTTGAGATATTTTCTCCATATGCCCAAATTTAAAATGTTTATATGTTACCTGGAAGGAAGGAAGGAAGGAAGGAAGGAAGGAAGGAAGGAAGGAAGGAAGGGCAAGAGGGAGGATTTTTCATGTTAGAATGGGTTCTTTTCATCATCTTTTCTATATAATCACTGCTATCTAACAAATAACAAAAACAAACACAGGACAGTAGGGAAAGACTCGTCCGACAGGTAAGTTTTGGTAGAAATGGAAGAGGGAGGAAAACTTCTGGACCTGCCCCTGGAGGGAGACCCAGGGCCCGAGTCAGCTAGGAGGCAACCACGTGGGCAGGTGGGCTCAGCAATACTCAGGTCAGTTGGGAGGTGCCAACGACAAGCTTTCCCCACATCTCGGATTTCCACAGGAATGACTCTGATGCCCTGAAATGTTTTTGGCAGGTTACAGTTGAAGATTTTGAAATAGTATGTAAGGGTCTGTATCGGGCACTGTGTATACGGGAGAAATACATGCAGAAGTCCTTTCAGAGGTTCCCTAAAACCCCCTCCAAGTACCTGCGGAACATTGATGGGGAGCCTTGGGTAGCAAATGAGAACTTCTATCCAGGTAAGTAATTCTCTTCTTCAATGTATGGAATATATCTTTAGGTTCAATTACTAACTATTAAATATGCCCCTAGATTAAAAATAATCCAGTCTAAAAATACCAGAGTCATGCCCTAACTCAGTGGTTCTCAACCTTCTGGTCCTTTAAATACAGTTCCTCATGTTGTGACCCAACCATAAAATTATTTTTGTTGCTACTTCATAACTGTAATGTTGCTACTGTTATGAATCTTAATGTAAATATCTGATATGCAGGATGGTCTTAGGCGACCCCTGTGAAAGGGTCATTCGACCGCCAAAAGGGTCATGACTCACAGGTTGAGAACCGCTGCCCTAACTGGTGTGGCTCAGTGATTGGAGTGTCAGCCCACACACCAAAGGGTCCTGGGTTCAACTGCCAGTCAAGGGCACGTACATGGGTTGGAGGTTCCATCCCAGCCCCTGTTGGGCCCCTTACTTTCAAGGCTGCGACAGTGTGGACTTTGTTCTTGGCTTTCTTAGGTTGAAACTGTAGCAGTGGAAAGAAGGGTCATTCATCCATATAATCCCTTCTTACCTCCTTGAGCAGAAAGTGTATGTGCTCTAAAATGTGGGAAATATAATTACAATTAGAATTGTCATTCTTACAACAAAAATTTATTTTATATTTCCATGTATATTAAAACTACTCGAGATGGAGCACAAAGGATTCTTAGGGCAGTAAGACTATTCTGTGATACTGTAAGGTTGGATACATGTCATTATACATCTGTTAAAACCCATAGAATGTACAACACCAAGAGTGAACCCTGATGTAAATTATAGACTTTGGGTGATAACAAAGTGTAGGCTCATTGATTGTAACACATGTACCTCTGGTGGGGGACTGATAGTGAGGCTCTGTGTGTGTGTGTGAGGGGGGTGGCTAGGGGTACATGGGAACTCTGTCCTGGTTGCTCAGTTTTGCTGTGGACCTAAAACTGCTGTGATAATTAAGCCTATTTAAAAATATCGTCTCTACATTAAGACTGACAGAGAAGGTTAGTTTAACTAAGGAAAAGGTCCAAACTCTACTTTCTAACTGTCATTTTATTTTTATTTCTATGCAATTATTTCATAAGCTAAGAAAACACTCTAAACAGGAAGCCTCTGATAACCAACTTTAGTAAATAATTAAAATTATTTGTAAATAACATATCAGTTATGTAAACAGTACTTCTAAAGAACTTGAAAATTATTCTTATACCAGATAAAAACTATGATAGTTACTTCATACTACTAATTTAGTCACCTTTGAGCAACAACGTAAAAATAAACTTTATCAGCTCTGGATAACAACAATCTACAATTACAGCATTCCAAACGAATGAGATTTTACAGTACTTCATATGTTGGTTGTTTTTATGTGGTCATTCATCCTGTGTGCTGACACATTCCTCTGTGTTTCATTGAAAGTCTTCACCCCTCCTGTGAAGAAGGGAGAAGACCCTTTCCGGACAGACAACCTCCCGGAAAACCTGGGTTATCACCTCACAATGAAGGACGGCGTGGTCTACGTCTACCCCAGCGAAGCGGCAGCCAGCAAGGATGAGCCCAAGCCGCTTCCCTACCCCAACCTGGACTCCTTCGTAGATGATATGAATTTTTTACTTGCTTTGATTGCCCAAGGACCCGTGTAAGCGTTTAGTGAGATCTAACCTACTACTCCAACTATTGATAGGAAACATAAGTATTTATTAAGTGCTTATGATGTTTAAAAAGCTGTGTTAAACCCTCCATGTACATTTCTTATACTCCTCAAAATTGTTCTATGAAGTATTTATTTATAATTTCACTTCTACAGGCTGAGATTTTGATGCATTAAGTAATTTTCCCAAAGTCACACAACTGACTGAGAAAGGCTTCGAGCCCAAAGATGCCAACTCCAAAGCCAGGGCCTTCACCTTGAGCCACACGGTCTCCCCTGCCTTGAAATGCCTTCCTAAGTCCTCCCTCATCATTATGTCCAATTTTGATGAAAAGATTAAGCCCTTGGGACCCAGAGTAAACTGAAATGTTTGTTCTAATAATTGTTTCCTGTAGTTGTTGAGGGTCCTGATGGTTTTGAAATTGTGACTTCCTTAAATGTCTGGAATTTTTTAGAATCATGTGCTTTAATTTTTCACAGAAAGACCTACACCCACCGGCGCCTGAAGTTCCTCTCCTCCAAGTTCCAGGTCCATGAGATGCTCAACGAGATGGATGAGTTAAAGGAGCTGAAGAACAACCCCCACCGGGATTTCTACAACTGCAGGAAGGTAAGCGTTTCGCTGCTCAGTGGTCGTCCCTGGGCAAAAACATTAACCCAATTAGTATTTTCTGAGCAGGACAAGAAAGATACCATCTTTCTGATTAATGTGAGATTTCTGTAGATTAAGTGGAATTTACTAAAAGCAGACAGATTATGTCCAAAAGGTTAAAAGCCATTTGTATGGGTTCCACATAGAAAGGTTTACCACATTCTTGTCATAAAAAGTTATAATCCTCAACCACAGAAATAACAAAAGCAAATAAAACCTCAAACCCACTATTCAGGATCTGAAAGATCTTCATCCTAGTCCTTTTTCTTCTACTTCCTGACTAGAAGACATTGGAGAAGGGATTAAATATTTCGGAGTTTCATATTCCTCATTGAGAAGCATATCTGCTCAGTCTAGCTCACAAAAGGATTATGGACACTCAATGAACTAATGATTGTGGAAAACACATCAACTGGGAACACTTCCAAGGTGTGTTCTGACCATTTAAGTGGTTGCAAGGAAGTGGGAATAGGAAATATATGGGCAGAGATTTGGGACCAAATTCTGTATAACCTATCAATACTTCAGCTTATAAAATTGTAATTATAAAAATAGCTCATACGTGCTGTCATAATTTCAATCCTTTCTCTCTTGGGGGCTGAAAACTATGGTATCTACTTCACTTCTGGATGTGTCTCAGGGGTAGAGAATGGTCCCCAAGAATTTTGTGTGGATCAGATGTAAAGGGGAAGTAAATTGGATGTAACGTTTTACAACAGAAGCAGGCATTGTGATTCCATCCAGCCTAACCTTCACATCCTTGCAAGGACATAGAAAGGTGCCAGGGGTGTTTTGTTTGGTTGGGTTTTTTGTTTGTTTGGTTGCTTGGTTGGTTTTTCTGCTGGGCCTTTTCCAACAGCTGTCAAGTCACAGCCTTGTTACTTATGCCTTCCTCCCACCACAGTGGGATTTGCAGGCACCGTAGCCTCTAACAGAGGAATATAACGAAAGCTGACTGCTGGTTTTCTTTCTCTGAATGTACACTCAGGTGGACACCCATATCCATGCAGCTGCTTGCATGAACCAGAAACACCTTCTGCGCTTTATCAAGAAATCTTACCACGTTGACGCTGACAGAGTGGTCTATAGCACCAAGGAGAAAAAGCTGACCCTAAAGGAGCTTTTCGCTAAATTAAAAATGCATCCCTACGACCTGACTGTTGATTCTCTGGATGTTCATGCTGTAGGTTGAAAAGATAACGTCAGTTTCACTCGAACACTGAAGAACCCCACATGCCTGTCTCCTACAGACTCTCCCTTCTCAGAGCCATGCTGGCTTACCATGCTGACCGCAAGCACCACAGACAATGTTAAGGTTTATTCACTCATCAACTGTCTCAGATTCCATTCTTGGAGCCCAGCCCCTTCCCTTGCCACCAGGCCCATTCCTCATGCCCATTCCCTAGCTCTCTGTGTCCAGGCAACTCTGGTAACGACACACGTGTGTTCCTGTTTCCTGATTCAGGGACGCCAGACTTTCCAGCGCTTTGATAAATTCAATGACAAATACAATCCTGTAGGAGCAAGTGAGCTGCGGGACCTCTACCTTAAGACTGACAATTACATTGACGGGGAATATTTCGCCACTATCATCAAGGTGAGAAGGAACCACCAGATCTATGGTGCCTGGCCTAGCTCTTGAGGAGGGAGAGAGAGAGGGAGGAAAGAAAGGAGAGAGGAGAGAGGAAGGAAAGAAGGAAGGGAGGGAGGAAGGGAGGGAAGGAGGGAGGGAAAAAGCAGGCTATCCTTGGAATCAAGCACTACATAAATGAATATAAGAATTTCTTCTGAAATGTCCGCTGTGATGATTTTAAAAGACCTCTATTCCTAGGATTAGATTTGGGATTAGGGACCTGGCTCTCCCGGGCTTTGGGAGCTGTAAATTCAGGAAGAGTTGGGATTGGAACCCACCCTCATTTTCATGCCTGAGCATTAGGGAGCAGGAATGACATGTGGAGTTGGGAGACGTGTGTTTTGGGAGGTAGGGGGCCTATGAAAAGCTGGATTTCTTTTGCAGGTGCCTGGGATATCTCATCATGCCTAGTCTGACTTTTTCACTCTCTAGACTCCATGATGTCCTTTTTCTCCCCGTGGGATTCCCCTCAACTCTGTTCCCTTAGCCTAAGGCTTAGAGTTTAACCTTGACAGTTTATCACTGACTTCTCATGTTTCCTCCATTCTTCTTCGTACCCATCTCCTGCTCCTGGACCCCACAGGCTCAGCCCCCTGATTTACTTGTAGGAATTCCTGGCTTTGGACTCCTCTCTTGGCTTTGCAGGAGGTAGGTGCAGACCTGGTGGAGGCCAAGTACCAGCACGCCGAGCCCCGCCTGTCCATCTACGGCCGAAGTCCTGAGGAGTGGAGCAAACTCTCCACCTGGTTCGTCCGCAACCGCATCCACTGCCCCAACATGACGTGGATGATCCAGGTCCCCAGGATCTAGTACGTACCTGCCTCACCTCCTCTACACAAACAAGAAACGGGCAGCAGATCAAGACAGGAATACGCTCTCCGTCCTGGGTCCTGCGTCCTGGGTGCCTGACTGTTCCCTCTGGGTGCAGCACGCCTGGCCTGAGACAGAAGTTAGGAAGATCCTATTAGTTCAAATTTCTAACCAGAAGGCTTTTTGGTTTTGTTTTTTAAAAACACAGGACTTCACATAGATCACAAAGTAACTTATTGAGAATCATTAAAACTTAACTAAAAAGTATATGCATTTTACTATACACTTTCTTTCTCCTGCTCTTCCTCTCTGTGTCCAGTTCACTCTTTCCCATTCTCATCTCTACTGGGACATAGCTTCCTTGTATCAGAACCACGTCTCGGCTGATTGTCTCATCAGCAAGTGCTCAAGTTCTCCATATTCAATGAGTCTTTTTTTAAAAATAGATTTTATTAATTTTTTTACAGAGAGTAAGGGAGAGGGGTAGAGAGTTAGAAACATTGATGAGAGAGAAACATCGATTCAGCTGCCTCCTGCACACTCCCCACTGGGGATGTGCCCGCAACCCAGGTACTGCCCTTGACCGGAATCGAACCTGGGACCCTTCAGTCCGCAGACCGACGCTCTATCCACTGAGCCAAACCAGTTAGGGCTCAATGAGTCTTTATCAATGGTGTTACCACCTGTTAATTACTCATTGCCCTCAGAGATGTTCCGTGTCACTGAGTATTTATCTAACATAAGTGTTGATATATTTTCTGGCCACCTACTTCATGTTCTGTGTGCCCTGTGGCAATACAAGAATTTTATCCTCTCTCTTTAGCCAGAAAAGTAACTTTTGGGCTGGAATTAGTACTTTCTGTCTAATATCATTACAGCAGAGAGGCAGTAAGTGTGGTGTTTAGGAGCACGGACCCAGACTGGCTGTGCTTGAATCCTGACCCTACCACATACTTAGCTGTGTGCCTTGGTTTTATCATTTTTAAAATGGGGTAATACCAGTACTTAACTTATTGAGTTGTTATGAGGATTAAGTTAGCTAATATTTCTGGTCCGTTACTAGAGTGGCTGGCATATGCTGAGTGCTATCATAAGAATTTGTTAGACTGCCCCTGGCTGCAACACATCGGGATTGTTCTTGATAACTGTCCCATGTGCACCATCTTGTACACCACACACATAAATAATTGAACCTTTTATGTTATAGTCCCTATACTCCTCATTCTCTACCTAGATTTAGCTGTGAAGGTTCGCTTTTCTCACCACCTGAGGATTTGTAGAAGAGATGGGGCCATCAGGCAAGAAATTGATACTTTCTATGCCCAACCACAACTGAATCCCTCTTTATGGGTAACCAAGAAGAGTGTACCAGATGGACATACTAGGTCTTTTCCTGAACCTGGCATTTGGTCCTCTGGTTCCCTCGAATTGGGGCTATCAGTCCTAAAAATCTTCCTGTCCTCCTAAATTCTCTTCATTCTTGCCTCTAGCGATGTGTTTCGAGCTAAGAATTTCCTTCCGCACTTTGGGAAGATGCTGGAGAATATTTTCATGCCAATATTTGAGGCCACCGTCAACCCCCAGGCTCACCCAGACCTCAGTGTCTTCCTCAAGCATGTAAGCATGACCTGTCGGCCTTCATCTTGCTGCGCACAAACAAGCCCACCTACCTGGCCGGGACTACTCCCTGGGGCTTATCTCTGATGTTTGGTCCTTGCCTTTGGGAGCTGAAAGTTTGTCTGAGGGCTGGGACCCTGAAGTCAGACTGAACCCATGGCCTGGTTTGCTTTTCCTGGCAGATTACTGGCTTTGACAGTGTGGATGATGAGTCCAAACACAGTGGCCACATGTTTTCCTCCAAGAGCCCCAAGCCCCAGGAGTGGACAACGGGAAGTAATCCATCTTACACTTACTACGCCTACTACATGTATGCGAACATCATGGTGCTCAACAGCCTGAGAAAGTAAGTAGACGAGAATTGGAGCGAGGAGAATCTATTTGGCACACTTCTCTCCTGGTGCATGGGCACCCGTGGCGGTCAAGGGCCTGACCTGCACCGGTGGGATGCTTCCAGCTGGCTCAAATCAGACATGTCTTCCCCTTGACTTTTTCTCCAGTTTCTTATATTTATTTAGGGGCAGGAATGGACATTTTGGAGCCTCCAGTAACATTCACAGTTCATTTTCTTTGGATGTTTACAGTAATTTACAGTAGTAACTATGCAATTTATTATAAAACCCCATACATTTCCCCCCTCTTGATAGATCTAAGTAAGAATAAATAGAGGAATATTATTCTGGGGCTTTCTGGAAAAAGTTTCCCCCTGAAGTGTGAGTAGGAGAAATGATGATATGGGGATGCTGCTGAATTTCCTGTGGAAACTAAAGATGTTTCTGTTCAGGTAATCAAATCCTGACTCTCCTCTGTACCCTCCTGTCCTCTGATGCCTATTTTTCAAAAGTCTGTGTTTAGGAAGACTTAAGATCGTGACTTGGAATTGCTGGTTTTGCCATGTCCTTTGAATACCCTTCCAGAGAGTTCATTTTCCTATCAAATTTTCTCATAAATTGCTCTATGCCCAGAATTGTTGCCAGGTCCTAGTCAGTCACTTGTGACTTCTATAGCAGTTCCATTTCCCTAGGGAACGAGGCATGAATACGTTTCTGTTCCGACCTCACTGTGGGGAAGCTGGAGCGCTCACCCATCTCCTGACAGCATTCATGACAGCAGACAACATTTCTCATGGCCTGAATTTAAAAAAGGTGAGGCGGAGGCTCTCTTAATAATAGTTCATTTTTTAAACAATCAAAATTGAAAGACTCCTAGACACAGAGAACAGACTGGTGATTGCCAGAGGGGAGACGGGTTGGGTGAATGGGTGAAAAGGTGAAGGGATTAAGACTATTCTGTGACTACCTATGTGTAAAGTACAACATAGGGAATATAGTCAATGATATTGTAATAACTATGTATGATGCCAGGTAGGTACAGGAAATATTGGGAAGAATACTTTGTAAGGTATATGAATGTCAAATCACTATGCTGTATACCTGAAGCTAATCCAAAATAAGATTGAATGTAAACTGTTATTGAAAAACAAAATTACAAAGAATAATGACTTTTTATTGGAGCTAGTCACAGGTCATTATCAGGACTGACATCAGGTTAAAGTAGAACAAAACTGGTTGTGAGATTATTTAGCGCCGTTCATTTCACAGAGGCCCAGAGAAGCGAAGGAACGTGCCCAAGATTACCCCGCTATTGACGGCCGAGATGGGTTAGCAGGTGGCCTGGCTTCCATTTTAGGACTCTGACAAAGGATAATTTAGAGGCAGCTTGGCCCACCTTACGCTAGTGTTTGCCAGGTTCCTTGTTATAGCACGTCTTAAAATGCCTCTCGTGAGAGTCAGAACTTCCTTGTAGAGAAAAAAAGAAGTTTCTAGGTGAGGTCTTTTGCCAGAGACAGCCATCCAGCTCAACGCTTCTGAGAGCTGATGATCCCACATCATTTTATTCTAAATAGTATTCATATTTAAAAACTATTCCTCTTCTTCACAAGGGGATTTAAAGGACAGGTGATAATTACTTGAAAGCTAAAACTTGAGGTAGACCATGGGGTTTTAACATTTCTCATTTGTATCCCTTTGCCAACATCCTTAAATAATTTTCTTTTCCTTTTCCTTTTCAGACTCCTGTATTACAGTATCTGTTTTTCTTAGCTCAGATTCCCATCGCTATGTCGCCATTAAGTAACAACAGCTTATTTCTAGAATATGCCAAAAATCCTTTCTTAGATTTCCTCCAGAAAGGGCTAATGATCTCACTGTCTACCGATGACCCAATGCAATTCCACTTCACCAAGGTACTCATATGGAATCTTGAGCGATACAAGCATATTTTGTTGGGCTGTTGTTTCCCACCCAGAAATTTTAAAAGTTACATTGATTTCTTTCACTATTTTTTTTGTGCAAGGTGCCATTCTTTTAATGCATTCTTTTCCTTTCTTTCCTGCTTTCTTTTTGCCTCATTTAAATACATAACTGAAGGAGCCCCTAATGGAAGAGTACGCCATTGCCGCGCAAGTCTTCAAGCTGAGTACCTGTGACATGTGTGAGGTGGCAAGGAACAGCGTTCTGCAATGTGGAATTTCTCACGAGGTAGACCTGTCCTTGCCTGGTTGCCCTTCGGATTTTAGATCTGGTCACCTGAATATTGAAAGCTGAGTTGGAAATACACGTGGGAAAAAATTATCCCCCCAAATCACATGCAGTTGCTATGGACAGGGACTAGAAAGAATTACTCTATTTCTCTGGCCATGCCTTTTGGGCAAGGGAAATAAAATGCACTTGTGTCTCAGCTGACCATGCACACTGAGGCACTGGGTAAGTGCTTTTAATCGTTTTCTTCTTCTTCTTTTTTTTCCCCTTTTGCCAATGGCTAACATAAGGAAGGAATCCTTGTGGAGGGTGTAATGATTGTCTATATCAGGGTACAAAGAGATAACAACCATTCTCCTTACTTTTCTCTTATAGGAGAAAGCGAAGTTCCTGGGCAACAATTACCTAGAGGAAGGCCCTATGGGAAATGATATCCGGAGGACAAATGTCGCCCAGATCCGCATGGCCTATCGCTATGAAACCTGGTGTTATGAACTTAATTTAATTGCCGAAGGCCTTAAGTCAGGAGACTAAAATAAATAAACCAAATAATATACGGGTGAGATTTTCATGTGAATAATAATAGTTACCAGTTCTTGAATCCTTACTAGAAGCCAAGGACTGTATTAGATATTATTCCACTGACATCATTTAATTTAACTCGTTTCACAACTTTATAAAGAAGGTGTTACTATCTCTATAGCGGGGAAGATGAATAAACTGAAGTTAGTGAAGTTAATAACCTGCACAAGGATACACCTAAGTGAGCAGTAGCAGTGGGGACCTAGGTTTGTCTGATCCCAGAATTTCTATGACCTCAGGCAAAACAGTTATTAAGGCGGGAGGGGGGGGGGCGGGAATAAAAGCAATGACTTGTTATTGGGAGAACTTTTGGTTTATAGAATAAAACTTGCTTAGGCACTTGGATCATTGAAAAGTCCTTCTGACCAGATATAAGTGAAGAGTGGCTTTCTTAGACAAAAGTAGAACAGGTGTAAATATAGAAAATCTATACTTATGAGTTACTCTACTTAGTGAGAATTTATCTTACAAAAGGATTCTTAGCTTTAAGGATTTCATTGACAATAAAGTTATAGTCACTTATAGTGATACATTTTAAATGATGTCACTTACCAAAACAAGACATAAGTTTCTAGAAATTGCCTATTACTCAGGCTGAAGTCATATTCCAATTAGCCAGACTATACTTATGCACATACAACTGTGTTGCCATCTAGTGGTTGGGCTGATACTTCATTCATATTACTTAGTAAACAATTACTGATAGAATATCAAAAGCATCAGGTACTATTCTAGATAGCAAAGGTATAAGGAATAAGCTTTCATCCCTACTCTCAAGTAGTTCACAACGTGAAGTTATAGGATCAGTGGATACAAACGTGAAAAAGAGAATTTGATGAAACATCTCAGAAAGAAATGACGTTCGTTTCAAATGGAAAAAAAATTAAAAATAGCAAATTCCTGTCTGTCTCCACATTCTATACAGGTTGTCGTAAGCAGAGGTGTGATCCCAACAGCATGTTTGTACTAGCCCTAGTGTTAAGTCTCCTCCCTGTTTTCTGAAGTTGAAGTTCTGTTAGCCGAGTATGTGTAGGTCCCTTAGAGAACCTGATTTTATTTTACTTTATCAAAATAATAGAAACCACTAAACTTAACATCCTAATCTCAGACTTAAAAAGACACTACCACTAGGTATATCTCCATCTTACCCATGAGAGGGCAGTAGAATACATACATGGTTATGCATTTATTAAACCCATAGAAACCCACTCAGCTTTGGTTTCATACTTGGTATGCGTAATCAATCGGCCTCATTTTTGCCAAATAACCTTCTGGAGTGCAAACTCTGAACTCTGAAATAAATCTGCCTTTTGAAATAAAATTCAAATCCACACTATTCTAGCCCAACATTTCATCTTAAACGACTTTGGGGAAGTTTTCTAAATATGTAAGAACTTGGGAGAGTCGGGGGGAGAGGGAATTGCCCATAAAGATCACTGTTCAACATTTACTACAAACAATACATTTATTTCCTCATTGAGTCAGATTTTAAAAATGTCTTGTCATGACTTTTTTTTTTTTGCCCCATCATAGAAGGTAACTCCTGTATCACTGTCCACAACTCATGGTTTCACGACGGTCTGGGACGTTCAGCTTTTACTGCTGTGGCTAAATTGGCTTGTGACCGTCATGGGCGATGTGTAACCAAACACCTCTCTTTCTGGCAGGCTTCTATTTTGGTACCTCTATGTGAACAGATGTGGGAAGAGTTTGGGCACCGGACCCAAGAGGCTCTGGCGGAGTGGGCGGGCTGGGGGAGGGGCGCGGCGGGTGGGGTGGGGTGGTTAGCGAGCGCCTGGGAAACAGGCTCCACGCCTCCTCGTCTCGCAGCTTCAGTGAAACTGGGTGCTGCCCGCGGGAGGCGCAGCGCCCTGCACATACCTGAGCAGGAGCGTGTTGCAGGCGCAGTGCTTCTGCTTGTGTCACAACAGGGCGTGGGGCCGACCTCGGGCTCTGGGCGTATCAAAGGCTTCCCTGCTCTGGGATTTCAAGCCTCCGGTGTTGGGAGCGTTACTTGCAACTACGTTTCAAATTCGCACCACACCGCCATCGCCCGGGACATTTGCTCCTCGAGCTCCGCCAGGGAAACGGTGACCCCGGGCCTCCGGCGCCGGGCGGCAGGAGACACGCCCATGGTTTCCTTGAGCGAGGTGCCATTTGCATCACCTGCGGCCGCGAAGTCGGGTCAAGTTCAGGTCCGTCGCGGAGGGGCCGGTCCGCAGGCCCCGCGAGGGCCCTGCAACTTTCCTAGAGGTTCCGGCTGCACGACAGTGGCGACGGTCGCCAGCTGCGCAGCGTCCCGGCACCGAGGTCCCGGGCAAGGTGCTCGCCCCTACGCGGACCCGAGCGGGGGCGGTTCCCCTATTGACGGAGCCTGGCAACGCCGGGGCGGGCCGAGCGTGAGGGAAGGAAACAGCAGCCAATCAGAAACCTGTTTGGCCGGGCAGGGGCGGGGCCTTCGGCCGGGCCTGCGGGGGCGGGACGGAGCCGACCCGAGTGGGACAGACGGGACTTAGCGCCTCCGCTGAGGAGAGGACGAGAGCCTCGCAGCCCGGCCGCGGGGGCGGCGTCGGGGCCCAGGGCAGGTAGGAGCGGGGGCTTCGAATCGGGGCCGCGGGGGTGTCGGCCCCGACCCGGCTGTCTCGGCACCTCCCGGGCCTCGAGGGACGCGCGTGTCCGGCCCCGAGGACGCGGGTTTGGGGCGTCCCGCCTGTCGCCCGCGGTGGTTGTGGCGGAGCCGGGCTCAGGGACACCCCGCCGCTCTCCTCGGGGGCGCGGGGACCGTCGAGGCGGTGGCGGTCGGGGGCCCTGCGGGAAGAGAGGGAGCGCCCCGCGCGCGCGAGGAAATGCGGGGCCTCGTCCGGGACGAGCGGGTTTCAACGGCGGCAGACGTAGGCCAGGGGCTTCGAACTGAAGTTTAGTGTTTTGATTCTTAACAGACTCCGACACGCACAACCGCAAAAAGTCGAGTCGATTTTGATTTTAAAACCTGACAGTGGAACACGTATGAGCTTTTGAGTAACCAGAGTAGCCGCGGATGATGAGGTGATGAGTCAAGGGCTGGAGGCTTGGCCAGGACCCACGGACCGCATGCGGCGTGGACCTCGGTCAGGGTGCCTTCTGGGCCTCCTTTCCTTAGCTCTGCGGATGCTCATGCCTGGGGGGCTCCGAGGGCCGAAGGAGAGGAGAGGACCCTGCACATGTTAGGTATCCTTATCGGACTGTGCACCAGCCTCGTGCACATTGACTAACTGCCAGGCACATAGTAGGAGCTCTGTAAACCTTGACCCCGACGCTAGTGGTGGACCTACAGTGTTTTAGATAACATCCCGGATCTCTGTTTACCGTGTAGATAGATGCTTCCAGCCCGTTTCCCACCAAATCACCATTGTTTGAAGGGTGGTCCGTGTTTAACTGATGGATGAATTTTTCCAGAATAGCACATGTTGTCTATCCACTGCTCCTCAATCATTTACCGCGGAGCAGCCTATGGCTGTGGCTTAAGTTACCTGGGAAAAAGGAAGCTGGGAGTGTTGCTTCACATCATGACTTTGATTTGCTTTTTTAAAGAGTTAAGTCCTCCCAAACAAAATGAATGTCTGGCTGTGTTTTTTTTGTAAGGGCGTTATTATAGACATTTGCAGCCTTCTCTATGGGTTTGAGGGACTTAAGAGGGAGACTGGAAATAAAACAGGGAAGAGCAGTTTGTAGCCAGCAGACTTTTACCCGGGGTACTTCTGGGCGTGTTCTGAATTAGTTTCCCAGGCTGAAACCAGGAAATGCAGTAATTGTGTTTCTTGGCCTTTATTAAATTTTTTTGTGTTGAACCTGGCATGGATTTTTTTAAATGCAGATCTAAAGGAAGAATTTTTTTCTGATGTGACAATAGGCAGTTATCTAAAGTTGGAAATTATATTTTAAATGATCTGTAAAGAATCATATTACAGATGAGGATTTTAGATCATTGAATACCAAGATCAAATTAAATGGAGAAATAAAAAGGAAAAGTCCTAATGAATAGAATTTTGTGTTGCTTTAAATGTTTACATGTTTCAAAGGTTCAGTGAAGATGAATGTTTTGAAACTACTTTAAAAACCCCAATTTTAAATACATTCTCTCTCTCTCTATAAACTCCATATATAAATTTTGCTATGATATATAACTTGTTGATATTGGAAGCTTGAAGCCTTACATTTACATTATTTATTGAGCACCTATTATATTCCAAGGCACAGTTTGAGCACTTACATTGTACAGTATTCATATATAGGCAGGATATAATTATTTATTTTGGAGATTGATGGGCTAAAATCAATCTAACAACTGGGCTAAAATAAGTACTGAGAAAGGTGTTTTTAAAACTGGTAACAACACCCACCAGCATTAATCGGGACCTACTCTGAGCCAGGCAGTGTTCTAAATTCTTCACGTGCATTAGCTAATTGAATCCTTACACAGCACCACGAGGGTTATTATTATTATGAACTCCTTGCTCAAAGACAGAGAAGTTGAGTAACTTGCTTATATCAAGCAGCCTAGGTAGCAGAGCTAGGATTCAAACCAAACAGCTGGGCTCCCCCAAATCCTGATCTTACCCTCTGCAGTATACTGGGTTTCCAATTCTGTGAGTGACTTACAAATGAAATCCAATGGGCATTTAAAAGAGTTCTGTAAAGAAAGTCTTCAAAAAGAAGGAAAGAAAAAGATAGGGAGAGAATAGAAACTGGTATTGCAAGATGGAGATTGAAGACATGTCCAAGCTACAATTTAATTACACTTTGTATATAAGAGCATTTCCCACCCCCCTGGTGAATGACGTGGGATTCTTTTTGTTTCTAGGTTCTCACTCAGTCACTGCAATTATGGCATCATCTTAATAATGTGAGAGGTGATTATTTTTCAATAAGAAGTTTAAAATGTCTGTTCTTGGACCATGAGTTAAATGTTAGATTGAGGAAAAGAAAATGCTTCCCTAACTTCAAGAAGCTTATAACCAGACATGTAAATAAGTCCCTACAATTTCAGTGTGATAAGAGTTAAAACAGAGATAAACAGAGTTTACTGGGAACATTGATTAGGAAAATGTGGTAAAGAGCCTTGGCATCATGCTAAGGACTTTGGACTTGATTCTAAAAACAATGGAGAGCCAGTGAAGGACTGTAAGTAATTAGGAAAGATAGCATGGTGGTGGTATGGTGTGGAGGCTGGGTAGGATGGAGAGAGATAAGTTAGAAGGCTATTGCTATTGAGATAGATAAGAGAAGATAAGGGCCTGGAGTAGGAAAATAGCAGAGATGAAGAGGAGAGGACAGGTAATGAAATGTAGAATTTACAGGGATTAAAAATTGATTGGCTTTGAAGGTGAACAGAAAACTAAACAACTTGGCTTCTAAGCTTGGGAATCTGTGAATAGAGGAACATGTTTTATTATTTTTTTTTTAATGTGAGAGGAAGGTAACCGTTTCAGTTTTGAACATGCTGAGTTTGAAGTGTATGCAACATGCAGTTGGAGATGTCAAGAGAGGATCCATAGCCCAGAAGGGAGGCTGAGATTGATGATTCAGAGTTTAGTTGGACAGTAAAAGGTCATTGAAGCCCTAAGAACAGACAAAATTGCTTGGGGAGTACATATGGAATTAGAAGAGAGGAATAGAAGGGGTTGTTTATTTATTTATGCTAATTTCATCTTACACATTGTGATTATAAAGCAATAAAATGGGTTTTAATGGTAGGTTAACCCCTTTTACATCCAAATGAATTCTGTTCTTTCACACACACACACCCCACCTCCTCCTTTATTGATTACAGAGAGGAAGGGAGAGGGAGAGATAGAAACATCAATGATGAGAGAGAATCATTGATCAGCTGCCTTCTTCACACCCCACACTGGGAATCGAACCGACAACCTGGGCGTGTACTTTGACTGGAGAATCAAACCATGATCTCCTGGTTCATAGGTTGACACTCAACCATTGAGCTATACCAGATGGGCTGAACCCCGTTCTTTTAAAATTTCATTTAGGCTTTACTCATTTATTTCAAAAGTATATTGCCCAAAATATTATTGGAGTTTCTCTTTGTAAAAAAAAACAAAAAACTTTATAGCAAATTCACAGCCATTCAAGAAAGTAGATCTTCCCATTTTTTAAAAAAATATATATTTTATTGATTTTTTTTTACAGAGAGGAAAGGAGAGGGATAGAGAGTCAGAAACATCAGTGAGAGAGAAACATCAATCAGCCGCCTCCTGCACACTCCCCACTGGGTATGTGCCCGCAACCAGAATCGAACCTGGGACCCTTCAGTCCGCAGGCTGACGCTCTATCCACTCAGCCAAACCGGTTAGGGCCCCATTTTGTTATAGAATTATTTTTTTCCTCTACTGTAGTTTCTATTTTCATGCATATATAGCCTATTTATCTTAAATCAAAGCTACAAAAGCATATGGTGTATAGCTCTTGGAAGTGAGAAATAGTGCTCTTTTAAAAAAGAAATCTTTGCGTCCCATAAATTTAGATTATCAATAAATGTCTGCTAGTCGATTCATCTTAATAACCAGTCTTATTCAATCTTGGCTCCAAATAGCTTAGGTGTTTCTAAAATTCATTCTCATCCACAAAGAAGGAAGGTTTGCCATCATGAATGAGACTCGAAAGAATGTGTTATGTATGGCTTTGAAGGCTTTTTCAAAAAAGAAATTTCAAAAATATTTTCCCAATTTGTGGTCTCATTAGAATAAGTGTAATATCTTCTAAGGCAGGAATTGGCAAACTTTCTGTAAAGGGCAGATGGTAAGTATTTTAGACTTTATGGGCTATACAGTCTCTGTCGCAACTACCCAATTCTGCCAAAAGAGAGCCATAGACAATACTTAAGTGATTGAGCATGTGTTGGGTTCCAATTAAAGTTTATTTATGGACACTGAAATTTGGATTTCATATAATTTCCACATGTCATGAAATATTATATTTCTTTGATTGTTTTTCCAATTATTTAAAAACTAGAGGCCCAGTGCATGAAATTCATGCACGGGTAGGGTCTCTAAGGGGCTGCCAGCTACCGGTAGGGCCTTCCTTTGTTCCATGCCACTCCCTGGTGGTCAGTGCACATCATAGCGATCGATCGAACTCCTGGTCGGTCCAATTCCCAAGGGGACGCTTTGCATATTAGGCTTTTATATATATAGATGTGAAAACCTCAGAGGGTGTGCAAAAACAGGTGGCCATATTTGGCCTAAAGGTGTAGGCCTCACTCTGCTGTCCCTATCCTAAGGGGTGTTCTTCGGAGTACTTGAATTTCTAAGTTTAGTTTTTCAGAAATGGTTATTCAAAGTTATATCTCCTATTTCTAAATTCCAGTACATTTTGTAAAACATTTGAAAATGTTACATTCATCCTCCATTTCTGGAGAGTGAGTGAAAAATGTTTCTTTCACTGGTTTGGAACCTGAGATACAGAGAAATAAATTGACTTCTGCAATGTCAGAATCAAAAATAGGTTTGAAAATGCTTTTCAATATTCAGTACTCCTTTCTGAACCTGTAAATCAGTTATCTTTTTGCCTTGGTGGAAGTGTCGACATTGAAAGCTGGGTGGAATAAAAGACCAGAACGTGAGTGTCCTGCACTGGCTCCCAGAGGGTTGGGCAGGATGAAATCTTTTGTTTTTTTCCTCTCTGACGTGAATGAATACTTTTCATCCTAAGGAAAAGAAAACGAAGTTTTTCTTCACTTCCTGGGCATTGTAGCAGGTTATCTGATGGAAGGATAAAGTAAATGATGGTGAGATAAGAGGAATTTTAAAGGACTTTTTCCCCTCTAACTATCCCAGATATTTCTCTTTGCACCTCCTATTTTTTAGGAGGAAATTCAAGATACTATTTTCCTTATAAATCTTAGATTCCTGGTTGGCAGCCTGAAAATAGCAGTTTTCGCATTCAGTTCAGGCAGTACTGATTGATTTATATTGGTTAAAGATTATTATTTATGCTCTCCTTTTCAAAGCTAGATATCTGACTTTCATGGTTTTCATAGCAGTGATAAATGTTTACAACCGAGGACATAGAAGAAAATTATTAGTTTTCCTTAGAAGTTTAAATTCATAGAAATGGCATATTTGTAGATTGTTTCTGTGAGGATGTTAAAATTCAGGACAGATTGGGGTAATTATGTGTGTGTGTGGGTACATGTGTTTTATTCTTGCTGCTACTTAAAGAAATGTGCATTTTTCTCTCTCTTATTTCCATTGGAGTAAAATACAAACAAAACACTCCAGCTGTCTTGGATATTTTTGAATTGGTTACTTAGCAGTAGGAAGCATAATGTCGTATTTAAATGTTTATCTGTATTCTCTGATACTCTGATTAAATAAGAGTCTATTAAGGCTGATGACAAGAGGGCCTGCTGGGAGGAAATGACACCGTCTGCTCTGCAACAGTATTTGCTGCAAATCCTCTTCCCTGGTCCCTACTTACACTGTCAGGGGTACCATGGAACAAAAGAGGAAAATTCTGCGAGTTAGAGTGATGGGCAGTTTGAGCATGATCATAATTCTATGGTTATTATCACGCAGTTAATTTATATTAACCTAAGTCAAAGTCAAGCAAAATGTAGCCGAATTTTATCTGCTGTTGGTAAAAACAGTGAAATGCTATCTAAACAAGGCTTATTTTTGAACTTTAAATGCATTCATCAAGTGCAATATTGTTAAGAGTTCAGTGATCATTGTACTTTAAATGCAAACTAGATCAATTTGCCCTTAAAATTTATTATTTAATTCAAAGATAGCACAGAGGTAAAATAAAATACAGACGCATGTCCAATAGCTGCATCTGGAAGTACAAAAATGTTGAGGAAATGGTGGCTTGAGAAAAAGTATAAGACTTTTAATGACGATTATTAGAAATATGGGTTTATCAAATGTGTAAAACCTGACTAAAATGACAGACTCCATGTATTAGTATTAAAGTTGCAAATGAAAGTTGAAAATCTTTAAAATTAAAAGTGATTCTTAAAAACATAGCATACTGGACTGTCCAATAAGCCCTTTCAAATATTTTCAAAGAAAGAAAAGAATATGAAATTATCTCCCTTTATAGGAAATTGAAAAAGATTCATTATTGTTAATTGTGTGTCAGTGGCATAAGAGAAAATGGCTACATATCTCTTGAAAAAAGTAATTATCTAGAATGGATGTTACGTTTATGATTTTTGACGATAAATCAGCTGAAAATACAAAATTGCACCTGTTGGTGATACCATGCCTCTGTTCTGTACCATTTGGGACATTTCAATAGTGCTTATGCTGTGGCTATAGTCTGGTGCAGGTTTCACAGTCTGAATTGATTAGACCACTTATATTATAAGTTACACTATGCTTCTAGTTTGTTAAATATGGTATCAAGATAATTAATAAGGAGGATTTTCTGTGCTGTTTGAATTTAACCACAACAGTATGTGCATAATTACAGAATTTTTGAAACTTTTTAAAAATAATTTTAAGTAATGGAATAGAAATTTTGATTACAAACAGAGAGAAATTATTTTATTTTGTTGTTGTTTTTTGTTTTCCTTATCTGAGGATATTTTTTCCATTGATTTCTTAGAATTGAAGGGAAGGGGAGAGACAGAAAGAGAGAAACATCGATGTGAGAGAGACACATCGATTGGTTCCCTCCCACAGGCACCCCAAGCAGGGACCAGAGCCAGGACGGAGCCTGCAACAGAGGTACACGCCCTTGACCAGAATCGAACCTACGACCCTTCAGTCCATAGGCTGATGCTCTAACCACTGAGAAAACCGGCTAGAGCAGGAATTATTTTAAACATTGTTTGAAGCTGCTGATAATAGTACTCTGCCCCCTGCCCCCCTAGGGCTTTTGCTGTGTTTTATTGAGTATTTCCTAAAAGCACCCTTTCCACACTCAAGGAGAGGGAGGAAGATAGGCAGGCAGGCTGACAATAGTCAAAGCAATACAACTGATAGTGCAGGCATCCTCCTGCCTTCTTCTGTGTGTCCAGGGCAGTGGGACTGCTGGTCTTTGGCAGAAACAGTAAGCTGGACATGAGTGAGCACATTGCCCAGTAGGTCATTGCTGGGCTCTCTCCGTCCCCTTTGTTCCGGGGCTTAGAGTGCTCTTTGGAATGACTTTTATAGATCTCTAAGCTTTGGTATGCATAGAACATCCTCGGGATCTCATGGATATAATGAAAATACTAGAAGTTATTCAATATATTAAAGGAGACTTGCTGAGTAGCCACGTTGTAAAATATTTTATTCAGAGCTAATTATACCTATTGACTGTCACAGTAGAGTCTCATAGTTAAGAGATGAGGACCTAAGGAGATTGTGCAAATCTAGAATTTTTCTGGTTGAGAAGCATTCTCATTTGGCAGGTATTTCCAATATTTTTTAATAACAAAACTTCAACATTTAACTGATACTTTTTTCCTTCTGCTTTCCCCCCACTTTTATTTTGGTCATCTTTCCATATCTTCACACAAATCTCTACCTCATTCTTTTTAATACCCGTGTAATATTCAACCAGGGTGCTCTGTTTGGTTGAGTAGTTTGTGTATTACACATCGGTACCCAGCTGAAGGGCTGAAATCCAGCCTCACGTCTGCTCCTCAGTACAGTGTGCCAGGCTGCCCCTTCCCACAGGGATCCTCTCCTCACCCCACTCTGGCTCTGACAACCCGCACCAGCCTGGCTGCCCCTCATTCTGCTCAGGCACTAGCATCCCTTGCAGGCTGCCCCTCTATGGGGCCACCCTCTTTACCCTGTTTGAGTCCTGACAGCCCACACCAGCATCCCTCTTACACAGATGCTCTCCTTACTCCTGCTCTGGTGCTCTGATACCCTGCTCTGGGCCCTGTGGTCCTTAGCATCAGGCTGGGATGCCTGCCTTACCCTCTTCCACCCAATGGCTTTAGGATGTTCAGGGGACGAGGTGTAACAATTTTGATCTTAATAATAACTTGGATTATTGCTTAATGATATTGTTGGGCCTGAGGGTAAAAACATTGCAAGCCTAATTCTTCATGTGTTTTATTTTAAGTAGTAATTTGAGAGTCCGGAGATGTTTAATGACTATGTAAATGCAGTTTTATTTTCTGTTGCTTTTATATTATCAGGTGAGATAAAATAGCCAATGAATGTATAATTTGGGAATGTGACTTGAAAACTTGAGAAATCTGTCTTTTGGCTTTTTAGCTTTAGAATGGGATAGGAAGTTACAGTGTAGAATTGGATATGAATGTATGTACTTAGGAGAGCCTGCTATGTCTCTAGTTTTAAATCCTTGAAAAGTGCATCTTTTTATATAACACTAAAAAGAAAGCTGGATACAATTACATATACACTATAATTGCAGCTGTTTAAAAATATGCTTATGAACTAAGACAGGAAGGAAATATACCAAAATATACCCGTGATTATGCTGAACATGGTAGACATAAATATTTTTCCCAGTTGTCTTTCCAAAATTTATAAAATGTATTACTTTATGACTTTTAAAGCTTGTTAAAAATTGCTTCTTTTTAGTTTCTGGAAATTTTTTTTAACCTTTGAACACTCTAGGAAGTAAGAATTTTGTTGCCTTTCTACCCTCACCCCCCTAATGTTTTCCTAAGGAGAACTTAACCACGTCTGAGTTTGTGATTTGAAAACTAGGTTATTCTATAGTTATTCAAAGCTATTTGGGAAGCTGAAAAATTCTGAGTGGGACAGTTATTTCTTCCTTTAGAGGGGGTTTTAAAAAGCATAATTAAATTAGAAGATTAAGATGAACTTCATCTAGAAGGCATTCAGATGGCTAACAGGCACATGAAAAGATGTTCTACCTAATCATAAGGAAAATGTAAATGTAAATAAGGAAAATGTAAATCAAAACCACAATACTTGTTAGAATGATTGTTGTCAAAAAGAAAAGAAATAATAAGTGTTAGCAAGGATGTAGAGAAAAGAGAACCTTTGTGTACTGTTGGTGGGAATATAAATTGGTGCAGTCACAATGGAAAATAGTATGGAGGTTCCTCAAAATATTAAAAATAGAACTACCATATGGTCTGGCAGTTCCACTTTTGGATATTTATCCAAAACAAAAGCACTAATTCGAAAAGATATTTCCACCCACTGTTCATTACAGCATTATTTATAATGGCCAAAATATAGAAACAACCTAAGCATCCATAGATAGATGAATGCATAGGAAATGCAATATATATCTATCTTGCCATTTGTGACAACATAGATGGACCTCAAGGGCATTATGCAAAGTGAATAAGTCAGACAAAAAAAGACAGATACCATATGATCTCACTTATATGTAGAATCTTAAATATAAAGAAAAAAACAAGGTCATAAATATAGAAAACAGATTGGTGGTTGCTAGGGGTGGGTGGGATAGGTGGGGGTAAGGTGGGAGGGTAGGAGGGCAGTGGCAAAATGGGTGAAGGAGGTCAAAAGGCACAAACTTCTAGCTATAAAATAAATAAGTCATGGGATTTAATGTAAAGCATAGTGACTATCCTATATAATAAAAGGGTAATATGCAAATTGACCCTAACAGCAGAGCGACTGGGAATCACTGGTCATTATGACACATACTGACCACCGGGAGCAGATGCTCAATGCAGGAGCTGCCTCCTGGTGGTCAGTGTGCTCCCACAGGGGGAGCTCTGCTCAGCCACAAGCCAGGCTGACGGCTACCAGTACAGCGATGGTGGTGGGAGCCTCTCCCGCCTCCTCAGCAGCACTAAGGATGTCCGACTGCAGCTAG